CATAATTCTCAGATCTCAGACTTCTGAGTAGCTAAGACTACAAACATGAGCTACCAACACCCAGTTTGGGCTTTTGTATTTTTAATAAGCCCGCAGATGTCAGAAGTGGGAATTATTCAGCTAATCCAAGTAAGTATCTGGCATAGAGATAAAAAAAAAAAAGATGCCCAACAGAGGCCTTTGTTCACTCGTAGTCCTGCTGGCTGGAAGCTAAGTGAGCCAGGGGTTGCATCTCCCGATTCCTAGCCTGGCTTTTTCCAAGCTCCTCCACTGCCCTGCTGTCCCAGTCTGATATACATCATGAGCAAAGGGCTGAAGTTTTCCAGAGTGAGGAACTCAGCATGTGGCAAAGGCACCTGATTTGCAGGCGAACACCTAGTTCTCCAGCATTTTCTTTCAGGACCTCCCAGGTCTGCTTCTCACTTAGGGTCCAGGGTCCTGCCCCACTAAGACCCACTTGGACCCTAATTCCCACCCAGCAGGTGGACACTGGGATGGGGGGTCTCACATCTGGTACATAGGACATTCAAGGGCAAATGAGTGAGTGGGAAAGGTTAGGTGAATGGATACGTAGGCCTGACCCTCACTGCAGAACTCTTGAGACTCAGGAGAAGTGTTCTGCCAGCACAAATGAATCGACTGTCATACTTCCATGCTTGAGCAGCCAACCTGAAATCTATTTCTGAAATGGAATTTCTCCAACCGGAAAGGCATTGTGCAAGCTCTGTCGAAAACCAGCAGGCAGGCGGGGCCTTCAGTGTTTCCATCCAATTTAGGAAGAGCACCTACTTGTACATTCTGCACCACCCCCACCACAACCATCCTCCCCAAACCCAGCTCATCACCTTGCCCTTGCTGAGGGGCTGGCTTCACAGCTGCCTGTGAACTTATTGGTCTGTTTTAATTTGGGGTTTGAGCTCTAGGCCTAGGTGCTATCCCTCAGCTTTTTGCTCAAGGCTAGCATTCTACCACTTGAGCCACAGCTCTTCCAGCTATTTTTCTTTGGTGATTAATTGGATATAAATCTCATGAACATTCCTGTCCAGGCTGGCTTTGAACTGCAATCCTTGCGTGAGCCATATGGCATCCGGCTCCCTCAGTCTTTCATGGCTTTAAATAAGACTCTGTTCCTGTCCATCCAAACAAGGTTTTGTCACTTGTCCCAGTGAAAGATCCTCCTTGGGCACCTTCAAAACCACAGCCTCCCATGCTAATCTTGGCTCTGGATTCCTAGCATACCCCATGGTTAGGAATAGGAAACACCATGAGACCCTGAGTTTAACCTCTGTTTTACCAACAGGCAGAGATGTCCTCTTTTTTTGTTTGTTTTTCCGGTCTGTTGTGGGGCCTGAACTCGGCCTGGACACTGTCCCTCAGCTCTTCAGCTCAAGGCTAGCACTCTACCACTTGAGCCATAGCACCACTTTTGGCTTTTTCTGCTTATGTGGTGCTGAGGAATCAAACCCAGGGCCTCATGCATGCAAGGCAACCACTCTACCACTGAGCCACCTTCCCAGCCCCAGAAATGTCCTCTTTACCTCATCTCCCTAGCAGGCCCCAGATTAAGGGACTGGTATACACAGCAACAATAATGCAGTAAGCCAAGGATTTAGCCACCTAACATCGTCTAATATCCCCAATGAGCACCTAATATCCCCATCTGAGAACCTAAAGTATAGATGGATCATAAGTCACAAGCCATCAGATGCCCACTACTGCATCCCAAACCCAGCTCCATCACTTATCAGTGTGTAACTCAGTAGACTGTACCCCTCCGATGTGGGCCCAGTGAGACCTGCCTCTTGGAGTTAGTGCACATTATAAGGCGCTTACAAAGAGCACCTGTCTCAGCTCCAAGCGTATGATGTTAAGATGCTATCTTTTCGTGGTGGACTGAAATAATCAACCTGCCAAGAAAGACAAGAAGCTGAGAATAGTTGAAAGCTGCCCAGCTCTTTGGACATATTCAGCCACAAATAGAATTCAAAGGTGCTGATGATTCAAGGAGGCTGAGATATGAGGGTCATAGTTTGAAGCCAACACTAACAGCAAGCCCCTGAGACTCTTCAATTAACCACCAAAAAGCTGTGGTCCAACTGGCAGAGTACCAACCTTAAGTGAAAAAGCTATGGAACAGTGCCCAGGCCCGAGTTCAAGCCCCAGTACTGGAACATATAAAAAGTAGCAGCCCAATATTCACTGCAGACAGTAACCCTCCTTATAAGAACCACCTAAGCTTCTTTTCAATCCTCTTCAAAGATCTCCGGGCAGGGGTGAGCTCAGTGATGGAGCACCACCTGGCAAACACAAAGCTTTAGTTAAATCACACCTCATCTACCTGTGGAAGGAAGGGGTGTGGTCTCTGTTGATTCCAAGACCAACTGCATTCTTAGGAAGCCTCTTATGCTGTCTGGTTACTGTCAAGGCACTGAATCCTCAAGTTCAACAGCACAAATTGTCCATAACTTCAAGTCCTTGCCTCCTGTCTCAGCTGTTTAACACTTCAGTTTCCAAATTGTTTTTAGAGGCTACAGGCTTCAAGTCTCAAAATAGACTGAGTCAGGAAAGCAAAGCACTCTGATCGCCCCCAATTTAAAGCAATCAAGTGACTTCCTAAAAAGCACCCAGATGAACTAGATCGAAAGCAGGCTGGTTAAGGGAACAGGCTGGCTGAAGCAGGTTTGTGGCAGAGGAAAAAAAATGCCCTTCTAAAGGATGCAGCCAGCCTTCTAATTATCAGGCCAGATAGACCAAGCCCATCCTGTCCTCTCAAGAGGCAGCAATTCTGAATTTCTTAAGTAAAACTGTTTTAAAAAGCCATCTGAAGCCAGGCACCAGTGGCTCATGTCTGTAATCCTCACTGATCGAGAGGCTGAGATCTGAGTATCAGTTTAAAGCCAGCTGAAATCTGAGGTAAGAAACTCTCATCTCCAATTAACCACTAAAAAATAAATCAGAAGTGAAGCAAAAATGAGCTCAAAGACAGCGCCCAGGCTGTGTTCAAGTCCCAAGACCAGTACCAAACCCAGCTCAGGCCATCAACTCAAACTACCTAATTAGCTACCACCAAAAGAACTATCCAAAATGGAGCTGTGACTCAAGTGGCACAGCACTAGAGCATCAAAGCAGCCAGGCCATGTTCAAGCCCCAGGACCAGCACCATCCCAGCCCAAGGAGATTCTTTGTAGACTAAGGTGCAGGTTACTCTGAAAAAGTTCTTGTGGCTCTTATCCCAGCTTCCTGACTCTTCACATATCCCACTCAGCAAAGCAGGCGCTATAAGCCACCCTTCACACATACTGCTTCCACTAGCCCTACTCCAGATTTGCTCAGCATGTAAGCTTCCTTGTCTCAGCCAGCTCTAGGCAACTCCACCTTGCACCCACATAGGCTTCTCGGCCCACCTCTCCCACACGGTCTGTCACAGTACCTGCTGCCTGTACGCCCTTTGGCACGTTCACTTAGAAATCCCGTCAAAGGGCTGGGAAAGTGGCCCAGTGGTAGAGCACTTGCCTTACATGCATGAGGCCCTGGGTTCGATTCCTCAGCACCACATAACCAAGAAGAAAAAAGCCAGAAGTGGCGCTGTGGCTCAAGTGGTAGAGCCCTAGCCTTGAGCTGAAGAGCTGAGGGACAGAAACTGGGCAAGTTCAGGCCCCACAACTGGACCCAAAAAAAAATGCAAAGGACACAACCAATTTCAGTGGTCTATATTGGTTCAAGATTTTTGTCCATTCTGGGACTTAAACTGAGGGCCTGAGCACTTTTTTTGGGGGGGGGGGTTGTCATGGGGATTAAACTCTGGACCTAGGCACTGTCCCTCAGCTCTTCAGCTCAAGGATAGCGCTCTACCACTTGAGCCACAGCGCCACTTGCAACCTTTTCGGTGGTGCCGAGGAATGGAACCAAGGGCCTCATGCATGCAAGGCAAGCACTCTTACTGCCGAGCCACCTTCCCAGCCCCTGTACCCATTTTTGTGCTCAAAGCTAACATTTCACCATTTGGGCTTTTTTGGTAGCTAATGGCTAGTGGCTCAAAGCCAGCCGGACAGCACTTGGCAAAGATTTAGGAGCCTGACTCTCACATGGTTCCATCTGATGAAAGCCAACCAATAAATATGGCCTCCAGGAAAACATGAAATCTAAAATCCATCTCTCAAGCTGGCACATGGTCCCAATCCTTCCCAAAGCCTCTTCTGCACAGCTGGCAACCCCAGAACACCCATGCCCAAACCCCCACATCCCCTCCCCCCCATGTAACTAATCACCCAAACCTCAGACCCTTAACCTCGGTGCCCAGTCTGAGCAGCAATCAGCATCTGGGAAGAAAAGGCAGCTTGGGTGGGTTCAAGATTTGAACCAATTGGCGCTGGGAAGGTGGCTCAGTGATAGTGCTTGCCTTGCATGCATGAGGCCCTGGGATTCGATTCTTCAGCACCACATAAGCAGAACTGTGGCTCAAGTGGTAGAGCCCTGATCTACAGCTGAAGAGCTGGGGGACAGCACCCAGGCCCAGAGTTCAGGCCCCACAACCAACAACAACAAAAAGATTTCAACCAATTGCACAGTGGTTGAGCAATCAGATGACTTACCTACTAAGCAACTGTACACTTGAATGAAATGACTAGTAAGTTTAACTTCGTTTTGAGCAAGTATTTTTGGAGACAGGGTCTCCCCACGTACTCCAGGCTGACCTTACAGGTATGTGCAACTACACTCAGCAAGATTTAGTAAGACCAGGAAAATTGAAGAACTTAGTGGCTGTGTAGATCCAAGTGCCTTCTGGAGTCGATTTCACTGCAGTGAAGGCCAATAATGAAAAAGGAGCAGTGCAGAGCAGCACACAGGCTCCTGGGTAGTTCCATCAGCTATACACTTCCCCCCAGCATGCTAACCAAGTGCTTCCCAGGTGTTCACTGGACTGTGTGAAAGCAGCAAAAACAGCAGACTAATGTCACAACACCCCAAGTAGAGCTTCAAATAGATCTCAAAGCCAGACCACAGGTTTTTACAGTTTATTAATCCCTTCGTGAAAAATTCGTCACCGCTGCAGGTCAAGGCAATGCAGGATCTTTATTCCTTTGGCTGTGAATCAAGAAAAGTTTTATTAGCAATTGCCTTGAACATTCCTTAAAAACAAACTCAAGTTTCAACAATTTCAAAAATTAATAAAACTCATGCAGAACAAATATTAGTGATCTCAAAACAATGTGAGTACCAAGAAAAACAAACATTCACGTTAGGAATGATACAAAAATGAATACAAGTAAAACTACTACTATACTTTAAAAAACAAACCATGTCACTGTTAGTACCTTAACAGGTCACAACCTGTGCATTTGCACATGAACTTGGAAATGTGCTCTGATGACCTGTTAAACTACCGCAGCAGTAAACCTGGTGTAGAACATTAAGCAATCTACAATCTACATTAAGAATTTGAATGATACCTGTTATCCAATCTCCAGCTCACTGAATCAGTGGCAGGAAAAGGGAAAGGGGAAGAGGAAAGAGGAAAAACAATAGTTCATTAGCAGTCCCTTTTCAAGCTCCAAAATAATCTGCATTTAAGTGCATGCAAACAGATACCTAAACTGTGCCCATTTAATTCTTTATAGTTGTACACAGAACACTATATAGACCTACAGTCACTGGTGTACTTCTGAGTTTCAGTTACAGCTAGCTAGCTTGATGTTAACAAGGAGGCCTGAGCACCCACTGAAGTAAGTGATCACTATGCTAACATGGGTGGACAAAATGCCTGCTGTGAATGAAGCACATCCACCTAACACTTGGGCCTCTCTGCTCACCTGAGATGAGCACCACCCAGACCTGGGAGTCTCCACAGATTAAGTCCTAGAACTTTGGGAGAACTCTAGGCAAGCCTTTTTAAAGGTATCTCAGTTTAACATTAAAGCAACTCTGTTGGACCCAAAAGATTAAGAATGTCAAACTAAACATGATTATGCACTGATGTCTGCATTCACTTTCCAGCAGGCTTTTCAGGGTGGCCCAGTGAGATGACCAGTGCAACCTGAAGCAGGAACAGTGCCGGCTCACATCCTCACGGGAAGCCTCATGGCTGAGTGAAAAAAACAATGCGTTAAATGTTCCTCAGACCTAGCTCAATGCTTTTGGCCAGTACTGGCAAACTCTTTACTTCATTTTTCACTCATGGCTGGAGCTCTCCACTTGAGCCATAACATCATGCTTTCATTTGCAGCTTTTTGCTAGGTAACAGGAGATGTCTTACTTGTCTGGCCAACAGTGATCTTGATCTCTACTTCCTGAGTAGCTAGAATTAGTCAGAGCCACTGGTACCCAGCCTTTTTTAAATTTGTCAGGAGGAATAATAATCCTCACAACAGACAGCAGTTCTAAGGTGCATCTAGAACTGCATAAGAATGAACAGTGTTGGAAGTAGAGCTGTGACTCAAATGGTAGAGTCCTAGCTTTGAGCAAAAAAAGTCCACCAATAATTCAAAGCCGAGTTCAAGGCCCAGTACTGGCACACAAAAAAATGAATAAACAGTGCTTATTCCAAGCTCTATCCATGGCCAAGTAGGCCCAGGGTTCCTGCTTTGCCAGGCACAGTATAAAAGCAAGCTACAGGGTAAATGGCCATGATTTTAAAACTACTACCCCACCCCCATGCTTAAGGCTTCTTCTACATTGCATATTTAGCTATTCATGTATCTGAAATGGAATAGACCATGCTGATCAAATGCTTATGAGAAAAGCATTATCCAATACACTTCAAGTAAGCTGTGAGTAGAAGGCCACTAGGTACAAACTTGGAAAACAGCCACATACTGGTGGCTCACGGGTAATCCTAGCTACCCAGGAGGCTGAGATCATGGTTAGAAGCCAACACAAGCAGAAAAGTTCATTAGTCTAGCTCCAAAATAACCAGCCAAAAAGCAGGGCTGGGTGTGTGGCTCAAGTGGCAGAGTAAGAGCACAGCAAATGCCAAGGCCCTGAATTCAAATCACAGTATAGCTGGGGGGTGGGAGGAGGAGGAGGGGAGGTGGAGGTTAATAAGAGGCAAAGGAAACAGCAGATGCTACCAGGGCAAAAGCTTTTATCAGCACACCCTCTGGGTTCACAGCTCCAGAAAAGGCTGCTCCACAGACGGGAAGGGGGCCCTTCCTCAGCTGTGTTAGACTAAGCAGTTTCCCAAATACGTGGTGGCAAGGACAGTGACTCTACAGGACATGACCTTCAGCGGGCACCTACCTTCAGTGAGTCACCTCACCACATAACATGCATATTTGAGTTTCTAAAATAAACGTGATTGCTTCCCTTTGCTCCCAACACAGTATTTTAAAACAGCATGTGTTCTAATAAATAGACCAAACTACCAAACTGTTGTCCAAAGCCAACATGCAAAGCATCATAGCAAACTGTGAAGGTGCTGCATTCCCACCCCACGCTCACCATCTCAGTACCTGCTACAGTACCTGCTAGACACTTCATTTCTGATGAACAAGAAATCCAAGGGTGGAGGGGACAGGCAAAAAGAAGTTCACAGAACACTCAATTATTCACCAACCCAGCACCTTGATTCCACCTAGACTATTTAGTTAGCTAGCAAAGCTGGTAAAAAGCCACTACCACCACTAACATCTCTTAGTAGCTTGGCTATCTGGAGGAAAGCAATCTGAAGGTCTTCAATGCCAGAAAAACATGGGCCACATTGATCCAGTGTCCATTTAATGAGATCAAGTTAAGTCCCAGTTAAAACCCTCTTTTGACAGTCCATGCCAATTAGCAGTTAAAACTTCTCATGATGGGATTTGAAAAGCACCCACCAGATCACTGAACCAATGAGGTGCCATTAGACACTAATCTACGAGCAGAAGAGGGGTGGCGGTGGCCGAGCTACTCTAAGGTGTCGAGATACTATCACTACGGAGCTTCTCAAGGCATTACCTTCTGTAATCCACAAGTGAGATAACAAAAACAAAAACATTAAGAAAGATTATTAACAAAACAAAATCCCTCCTTCATGGAAACTAAAAACCTACAATTAATGACATCTCTATTTTCCCCAAGCATACCTTCTTGCCAGCTCCAACATTGGCCTTTGCAGTCCCTCTGACTTTCTTCATTCTGTTTTTGCGTTCCTTTCGCTGTTTCCTCGAAGTCTTCTTCTTTTCATACAGGCCATGCTACAGGAGAAATTTAAGTTGAGGCATGACTGGGTCAAGGGCTATGAAATGCAGCTACCAAACCTTTTCTTCTTACCACTAGCCACCCTTAGGGTCTCTATTCCCATCTGTTCCTCTCTGAGGACAGTGAAACTATCAAGAACTCTACCCACCTAGCCATAGAGATTGAGGTCTAGGCAGTTTCACCTGGCCAACCTTCATACCTGCTATTCTTGCTGCCTGGAAGTTTCCAATCTTTACAAGCCATCTCAGCCTCAAGTCACCTCTCCAGAGCATCAATTAAAAGCAGTACAGTTAAGGGCTAGGCATAGCCAAGCATTGTTGACTTCCAGCTACTCAAGAGAGTGAGTGCGATCTGAGAATCTTGTTTTGAAACTAGCCTGAGCAAAAAAGTAAATAAAAAATTTTTTAAAAGCTGGACTGGAAGTGGGTGGGGCCAAGTGGCAGAAAGCTGTGAGCACGAAAGCTCAAGGCCTGCGTTCAAGCCAATACTGGCAACAAAAAACACAAAAAACAAGTGCAGGGGCTGGGAAGGTGGCTCAGTGGTAGAAAGCCTACCTCACATGCATGAGCCCTGTTTTCAATTCCTCAGCACCACATAAACAGAAAAAGCCGGAAGTGGCACTGTGGCTCAAGTGGTAGAGTGCTGCCTTACGCTGAAGAGCTGAGGGACAGCGCCCAGGCCCAGAGTTAAAAGCCCCACAACAGACCAAAAAAAAAAAAAAGTGCAGCCAGGCATGGTGACATGCCTGTTATTCCAACAACTTGGAGGCAAAAGATGACAGGTGGTATCAAGCACAAGGCCTTGTATTCAAATCACACTAGCAATACTTAATCATTTTTAAAATACACTTCATCACAATCTCCCTCGCAGATGTTGTCTGGGACATGGTAGCACGGAGTGACCTGAGCTAAAAGGATCAGACAAAACAAATACTTCAGTGATATTTTGTATACTGGACTGTAGGAGAGATAACCTGCCCAGCTGTGTTCCACTCTGTATTTGCTCAATACATGATCAAATAAGCCTCTGGCTCCTTGCTACCCATGGGATTAAATCCATACTCAAATGTCTGTACAAGAGCCTTCATGCTTCCTTCTATTTCACCCCACCATTTCCTATCTAGCCAATGTCCACAGGTACACTTTTATCTGCCCTTCGGAACCCGGCTCTTAATCCTTCCAGAATTCCTTCTAGGTCTTCATAGTTCCCACCCAACTTGGTCTGTGCATTCTCCAATACCCATAGTGCTCCTGAAAAAAAATTTCAATAGGTGTTGCAGAGATACTTACTCTTGCAAGTCTGTGTTTGGGCTCATTTTTCTTTGCATAATCCAAAGAATCATAAATCATGCCAAAGCCAGTTGTTTTGCCACCACCAAAATGGGTTCTGAATCCAAATACAAAGATGACATCGGGTGTGGTCTTGTACATTTTGGCAAGTTTTTCCCGAATTTCTGTCTTAGGTACTGTTGCCTTTCCAGGGTGAAGGACATCAATGACCTTAAAGGAGGTAAAGCATAGTGTTTGTTATAATTAAATATATCTGAAGGGCTGGGATGTAGCTCAGTGGCAAAGCACTTGCCCAGCAAGTACAACATTCTGGGTTTGATCCTCAGTATCAAAAAAGAAAATACAAAAAAAAATACAGTTAAATATATCTGAAATTAACAAATCAACAAACTTCAATGTGTCTTTCCTTACCATCTGCTTCCTCTGAAGTAGTCGGTTGGTCATGAACTTCCTGGTCCGGATAGTTACTGTGTCATTCTGAAAACAAAACACTAATTAATTAATCAGTCTATTCCAACTTTTTTGTGACTTTGCTGCTATCTTCTAGCAAAGTCATACTAAGCTCACTCAGTAGCCAATTTTCTTTAAAAAGCAAAAAGCTGGGTGCTGTGTGAGCCACCAGACTAGAGTGGTGTGGCTCAAATGGTCGAACGCCAGCTTTGAACTGAAAAAGCTAAGGGATAGCACCCAGGCACTAGTTCAAGCCCCAATACAGGCACATACCAAAAAGCGTTTTAAATAAAAGCAAATTCCAACAGCACAGGACAAACCTCACAGGACCACTGAAGTGTATCACAAGCCAACAAAATGCACTGGATTTAACGAGTCACTTTATGGTTATCAATATGGAGCCATTTTTCACCCTCACCACCACTGGTTTTGTGGACTGTGTAACTTTTTTGTGGAACTAACCTATTTGTAAGATTACTTGCCTCTAACTGTGTCACTGGCAACCCTGACTTCAATTGTTCGCTTTCTTCTCAAGCAAAGTCAATTTCAGGTATTATTCAGTGATACCTCACAGATGTCCAGCACAAATGTGATCACAGTAATGTCGTATGTCCAATCTGTGTTGTCTATCCTTGAAAAGCTGGAAAGCCCACAAGAAAACCATTCTCTTTGCATTTACTAACAGCACGCTTACAATTAAGGAAATATTAACAAGCTGAGCCATCGGTGGCTCACCCCTGTAACCCTAGCTACTCAGGAGGCTGAGATCTGAGAATCCAGGTTCCAAGCCTGCCCGGGCAAAGAAGTCCAATTAACTAGCCAATAACCTGAAGCGAAGCCGAGGTTCAAATGGGAAGGTGCTCGCCTTTTGAGTGGAAAGAACAAGAGTGCAAGGCCCTCAGGTCAAGCCCCAATACCAGCACATAAAAGTTCTAAGGAAGGGAAGTTTGTTCAGTAGCAAGTAACTGTCCATTTTCATCTTTAAAAAAGCACACCAAATTCTTCTCAGTTCTTGAGCAAATTAAAAGACAGTCGCAGGTGAAGCAAAACATTGCCTGATCATGAAGCTAACCAGCAGATACTTCGGGCTACGGCATCTTTGGGTGGCATCCCTTTCCAGGACCCGTTTCCCCGGGAAGAAATCCGAGGATGCTTTGGGCCGACAAGTTTCCTAGCTTCCAGGCAGGCACGGTTCCACCCGCCACGCCAGGGCGGGCCACTGCCTTCGGACCCACGCGGCCCGCAAGCAGCTTATCCCAGCACGAGGCTGCAAGAGGCCCAGCTCTCGTACGGCGCGCTCCGAGGACAGGAGCAGCGGACGCTCTCGCGGTCCCCGGCCCTGAAGCCCGGCGCCCGGCACGTCCTGGACTGCTGTCCCAGTAAGCATCGACTCCGGCGGCCCCCGGCAACCGGCCTCCGTAAGACAAGGCAGGGAAGGGCAATCGGGCCTCGGGAGGCTGTAAGTCAGATAGCAGGACCAGAAGACGAAGGATGGCTGGGATTGACAACAGATGACGGCCCGAGCTCAGGGAGACTCACCATGATGGCGGCAGACCTTCAGACAGCCAGGGAGAAAAGGGGCCTACTCTTCACTGGCCAATCATATCAGTACGCACGGAAGGACCCCAGGCAGCGCCGGAGATGGGCGTGGCCGTGGATGCGAGTACGACCGCGCCGGTGCCTGATTGAAAATGCCTGAGGCCCCGCCTTGCCGATGTTTGGCCACACCTCTGGGATTCATGATTGGCCGGTCCCGAGATACCGCAGCTCTAATTGACAAGCTTTATTAAAACGTGTGTTCCATTTCGTTCTCGTATTCCAGTTGCCGTTTAAGTAGATTCCTTATGAATTACAAGTAGGTAAACCTACAACGCATTTCAGATCTCTCCTGACAGCCTCCTCATTTTACAGCCTAAGGAAACTTCAGAGCCTTGATTTAAATCTTTAATCTTGGCAGAGTCTAGTGTCTCACACCTCTCTAGTCCTAACTACTTGAGGAGGCCAAGATTTAAGGAGCTGGATGGAGATCAGGGTTCAAGGCCAGACTGGGCTGAAAAAGTCCATTACAGTCTAGCTCCAAGGTAGCAAAAAGCCGAGCTGGAGGTATAACCCAAACAGTAGAGCACCAGAGAGCAAGCAGAAGGCTCGGGTTCAAATCCTGGTACTGGCATAAATCAATATTATATGTCATCTCAAGTACATGTTTGCTACATGGGTTTTTCGGGGTTTTTTTTGTGATTCTCTGACTAAGCTGTGTGTGTGTGTGTGTGTGAGTGTGCGCGCGCGCGTACGTGTGTGTGCGCGCGTGTGCGTGTGTGTGTGTGTGTGTGTGTGTGTGTGTGTGTGTGTGTGTGTGTGTAGTGTGCGCTGCCAGTCCCGGAGTCTGAACTCTAGGTCCCGTCCCTGAGCTTTTGTGCTCAAGGCTAGCACTCTGGCTAGCGCTCTAACAGCTTCACTTCTGGCTTTTCTTTTGTTTTGTTTTTGGTGGGTGTGGGGCTTGAACTCTGGGCCTGGACGCTGTCTCTCTGCTCTTCAGCTCAAGGCCAGTGCCCTACCACTTGAGCCACGGCGCCACTTCCGGTTTCCTGGTGGTTCATTGGAGATAAGAACCTCCCCGGAAAGCCTGCCCGAGCTGGCTTTGAACCGCGATCCTCAGATCTCGGCCTCCCGAGTAGCTAGGATGACAGGCATGAGCCACCAGCGCCTGGCCTGCTTCAAAACAAAATGCTTAATTAGAGCTAAGAGTCTCAGTGGAGAGTCCTGTCTGGGCTGGCTTCCACCCAGGCCCCTCCGATCTCAGCCTCCAGAGTAGTTATCCTAGCTCATCTTAGCTCCAGGGCTTTTAAAAAATAAGAATATGTTTATATTTTTTTCACCCTAACCTAATAACTTTTTGAACTGGAGTCTCACACGCAGCTGCTTGCTGTCATTTATTTCCTCTGGTTTGGCCAGACGGTGGCAGGTTGGTTTTAGCTTCTAACTTCCCTTGAACCCTTAGAGGCGCCTCAGTCACAAAGTCCCGGATGGACCAGGCTTTCCCGCGTGGACCTGCCTCTCACCTATTCTGAACAGGGATACTTGAACCGCGCAGGACTGGAGCCGTTCCAGGGGGCTCCCGCTAGGTGGCGGTGTGCTGCGCCTGCGCAGGGCACGTTGCCTCGGGCCCCTCTTGACAGACGCACGCGGCGGAAGAGGAAGCGGACACGTGTGGCGCTCTACGGTGGCCGTGGAGGTGCGGCGGCGGCTGTAACCCCGAGTTCCTTCGCGCCGCCCGGGGTGGGGGGTGCCGGAGCCGTCCTTGTCCCCAAGCCGAGTCCCCACGTGGGGGACTCCCGGGCGCCCGGCACCATGGTGAAGGAGCAATTCCGGGAGACGGATGTGGCCAAGAAAATGTAAGCCGGAGCGCGAAGGGGGCGGCCTGCAGGGGGCTGAGCTTCGGGGTCCCGGAGGGCCCCATGCCTGGACAACCGGACAATAAGGTTCCCGGGCGCCGGCGCCGGCCTGGGATGGGACCAGGCTTCCAAAGCTCCAAGTCTGGCATCTGGGGGTGGGGCCCGGGGCCCGTGCCCGCGCGCAGCGGGGTCGGGGCGGCCGCTCGAGACCCCCCGAGTCGCAGGGTGACCATTTCCCTGCAGGAACTCCTTCCCCTAGATCTGCCCCCCACGACCCCGCCGGGGAGCAGCCGGAGGGGGGCTCGCGACGAGCGCCTGGCACTGAACGTGGGGTTGCCAGCCCCATGCTGCGCCGCGTGCAGCTCGGGCCCTGGGCCCGAATGAAGCTGTCTATTCGGGCAGAGGTAAAGAGTTCTCAGTCGGGAAAGTGAATCCATCCTTCCAGAAGGGTGCTGGTGTGTGTACCCAGACCCAATGCCGGGCACCACAGTCTAGAAGGTGGAGAAGGAACTGACAGAGAGGTAGGGAAGGGCTGACATTGTCCAAAAAAAGAAATGTACGCTTTAGCTGACTGATGTCATGGTGACCCCTCTGTACTTCACCTTTATAACAACAACAACAACAAAAGTTTTAACGCTACCCTGGGTATGAGGAGGAAGGATGAGATGAAAGAGCAGAAGATCCATTAGGCCTGGGCGCTGTTTTTGACCTTTTTCTGCTCAAGCCTAGCATTCTGCCATCTGAGCCACAGCACCATTTTCCCAACAAGCCTTCCTCAGAAAGGGGGGAATATAAGGAGGCAGGAAGGGCACTCCACTGCAGGCTTTTTTGCTGGTGAACCACAGCTCCACGTCAGGCAAGTGTTTCACACTTTCCTGCTAGGGTAAGGATCGGAATCACAATTCTCAGATCTCAGCCTTCTGAGTAACTAGGATTACAAGTGTGAACTACCCAGGCTGGCTGAGGGTTTTGTTTGTTTTGATATTTAAAAAAAACAAACAAACCATCCCAGCAGTGCTTTGATAAGAGCTCTACTGTGAGGTTCACTCCCCAGAGAACGAGTTAAGGTAGGGAGGCTTTCCAGGCAGTGGCTGAGAGATCCAGGCAGAGGGTGGTACAATGATCTGCACTGGGGATTTGAGGAGGCTTTCTGGGCTGTAGTGGATTTTAGAGAGCCTTAAATATAAGGGGAGAGGATTAATGAAGCTGGGTCACTGGTGATTCACACCTGTAATACTAGCTGCTTTAGGGGCTGAGATCTGAGGATCATGGTTCAAAGCCAGCCCCAGGCAGGAAAGTCTGTAAGACTCTTACCTCCAATTAATCATCAGAAAACCAGAAGTGGCACTGTGGTTCAAAGAGCTAGAGCTAGCCTTGAGCAAAATTGCTCAGGGACAGCACCCAGGCCTCAAGTTCAAGCCCCACAACCAACAACAAAAAAAGAGGTTGGGGGCTAATAGAATGAGATCAGCACACAGAACTTTTCGAACTGGGGCAATTGTGGGGGAAGTTGCCTTTCCCTGGAACAGATATCTAAACTTATGTTGCCTCCCAGCTGTTCTGTACACTCACCCATTCAGGTCTTCCACCCCTTATCCCATTTAGATGGGAGATACTTTTTCCACTGGAACTTTGGTTAAGGTGCAAATTTGCGGATAATCTCAACACTCAGGCTGAAGTTAGAGAATGAATTCCATAAGATCTCATCTCAAGCAAACAAACTTAGCCAAGTTATATCTATGGACTTTTCTCCCTCTATTCTGTTATTCAGTAGTTGTACAAGGAGGTTTCAACTTAATGTGTGCAACTTGATCAGATTCACACCCCACTCCAGATCTATGTACTTTGAACTTAAAATCCTCTAGCACTGACATTAGATTACCTCCCAGAGTTGCTGAGCCCTGACACACACTCATGTACTTACTGACTTCATCTGGCACCATTCGTTAGCTTGCCTTTTTTGGGGGGGTGGGGGGGTGTCATGGGCTTAGGCTCTGTCCCTACACTCTTCAGCTGAAGGCAAGCACTCTACCGCTTGAGCCACGGTGTCACTTCCGGTTTTCTAGTGGTTTATTGGAGATAGTAATCTCACAGACTTTCCTGCCTGGGCTGGCTTTGAACTGTGATCCTCAGATCTCAGCCTCCTGAATAGCTAAGATTACAGGCATGAGCCACCAGTACCCGGCTTACCACTAACTTTTTATGCTCCGCTATGCTAGCTGTTTCAGGGTTTTGGGGGGTAGAAGGGATAGCATTGTTTGTTTGTTTTCTACAATGGTAGGGTCTGCACTCAGGTCATTGTACTTGCTAGGCTGGCAGTCTTAACCATATCTTCATCCCTGTGTTTCCACTGGGTGTTTTTGAGATAGGGTTTCATCCCACCAGGCACATACCTGGACAGTGATAGATTTCCTTTTGGCTTTCCTTAGTTCCTGGTATCACAGGCACATACCAACTCCTCTAGTTTCCTTGGATATGGAATTTCATGGACTTTCATGCCCAGGCTAACATGGTACTGCTCTGTTTCCAAATTTCAACATACACACACACACACACACACACACACACACACAGGACACTCCATCTTGCCTACTATAGTTTGAGATGGAGTCTCAGGGACTTTCTGCTTATGTTGACCTTGAACTATGGTCCTCCTGATCTCTGCCCCCAAGTAGCTAGTATTACAGGTATGAGCCACCAAGCCTCTCTGGAATATCAGTGTTACAGAGTGGCCATCTAACTGCACTGTGTAGCTTCCTCAGACAACTGCTTCCTGTCATTTAATTCTTTGGATCATCACATCTTCCATGTATAGCTGGCCCCACGTTTGTACTGGGGATTGATTCCCGGACACACTCCCCTCTTTCCCTGTGGATATTAAAATCAAAATGTTCAGCCGGGCGCTGGTGGCTCACGCCTGTAATCCTAGCTACTCAGGAGGCTGAGATCTGAGGATCGCAGTTCAAAGCCAGCCGGGGCAGGAGAGACCGTGAGACTCCGATCTCCAATAAACCACCAGAAAACCGGAAGTGGCGCTGTAGCTCAAGTGGTAGAGCGCTCGCCTTGAGCTGAAGAGCTGAGGGACAGCGCCCAGGCCCAGAGTTCAAGCCCCACAGCCGACAAAAAAAAATAAAATCAAATCAAAATGTTCAAGGTCTTTTTTCTCATAAAATAGCATAGTATTTGCAAATAAACTACTTGCATTCTCTTACAAACTTTAATTCAGGGGTTGGGAAGGTGGCTCAGTGGTAGAGCGTTTGCCTTGCATACATGAGGCTCTGGGTTCGATTTCTCAGCACCACATAAGCAGAAAAAAAAAGCCAGAAGTGACACTGTGGCTCAAGTAGTAGAGTGCTAACCTTGAGCTGAAGAGCTGAGAGACAGCACCCAGGCCCAGAGTTCAGGCCCCACGACCGGACCCAAAAAAAAAAAAACTTTAATTCATACCTCAGTTACTGAAAACACTCTCCCAGCCCTTTTTGCTTTTTAGCTTGCTCTTCAGATAGGGTCTTACCAGTTTCCTTCCCTTGGGCTGATCTCAAACCTTGATCTGCCTGTCTTATACACATGTGCCTCCGTGCCCAGCCTGGTAACAAGTTATGATGCAGTTCTTGCTCCATTTCTTTCCACTGCAGAAGCCACATCTGTTTTGGAATGAAGTCTCCTGAGGAGATGCGCCAGCAGGCACACATCCAGGTTGTGAGTAAGAATCTGTACAGCCAGGACAACAGTCACGCCCCCTTGCTCTATGGGGTGCTTGATCACAGGATGGTAAGACCCTGTCCTGCCCTAGAAAAGTGGGGCCTTCCTAATGGTCAGGAAGAAGCCAGGGCTTCCCTTCCTTCTTCCCCCTCCCACCCTCATCAAATCTGCCAGCGGCACCTCAGTTGGTTCTGATGTTGAGTCACCTGGTCAGGTATGGGCTGGTCCACTCCCTCCTAGTAGTTTCCACTGATGCTTGGCTGGGCTCTCCCCCAAGGGCACGAGTGAGAAGGACCGTCCTTGTGAGACCTGTGGGAAGAACTTGGCTGACTGTCTAGGCCATTATGGGTACATTGACCTGGAGCTGCCATGCTTTCACGTGGGGTACTTCAGAGCTGTCATCGGCATCTTGCAGGTAAGCCCATGGACCTCAGGGTAATTGGTCAGGGACACTGAAGTGAGACTAGGCATTGTGCCTGAAGGGGGCTACATTCAAAACCGTTCATCATCAAGATCTAGGAATGAATGCTCTGCAGCCAATTATACCTACCAGGTTCCTTCACTGGTGGGGACCAGCATTCACTGGTCGTTTGGGTTGCCCCCCAGACACTTGGGAGAGAGTTCTACAGGGTGTGGTCATGTCTCTGAGCTCACACCGGCCCCTCTCATTTCCAGATAAATACATGGGGTGGTCTTTGGGAAGCCCAAGGCACAGTGACCTGTTGATCATGTCTGGTCCCACCATGCTGCAGAGTAAAGAGCATGCAATTGAGGCCCCATTCAAGACCAAGTTTAAGCTCCCTGGCCACCAGATAATCTACCACAAAGAAATGGGGCTTTCTCAAGTTTAAGGAAGATGAGGACATGGTAAAGCCAGCCTGGGCAGGAAAGTCTGTGAGGCTATTATTTCCAATTAAGCACCAAGAAAGCCAGAAATAGAGTGGGGCTCAAGTGGTAGAATGCTAGCCTTAAGCAAAGAAGCCCAAGGACACCGCCTAGACCCTGAGTTCAAGCCCCAGGACCACCACCAAACAATAAAATAAAAAATACAAGACCTTGAGATGTAGCTCAGTGGCAAAACACTAGCATACACAAGACACTGGGTTTGATTCCCAGTACTGTTCCACCAATAATAGTGAAAACTCAAACTATAAAACAGCACAGAGAACAAGATAAGAATTAGCAAAAATCCTACCACTCACCTGTGAGTACAGCTAAATTCTAGGAACACAAGCTGCCTCTCAGTGGATCTCCATGCAGATCTGTGTTTGCCATCTCTCAGTTCAGGGTACAGAAGGAGAGGGGCATTTTAAAGAAGGGAAAGTTTTCATCCTGTCATTGTTTCCTCTGCTTTGCTTTACTTGTAAAAGATGATCTGCAAGACCTGCTGTCACATCATGCTGTCCAAAGAAGAGAAGCAGCAGTTTCTGGATTACCTAAAAAGGCCTGGCCTGACCTACCTCCAAAAGCGAGGCCTAAAGAAGAAAATCTCAGACAAGTGCCGGAAGAAGAACATTTGCCACCACTGTGGGGCCTTTAATGGTGAATAGAATAAAGCCCGGGCTCAGTGAGGGCCTGTTTCATTCACTCTCTCTGTTTTGTTTATGTAGCATAATGTTTTAGAGTCCACTTTTTGTTTCTATAAATTAGTCTTGAGATCCAGCCACTGAAGCACTGTTAGAAAGTGTACGTGGGCTGGAGCGGTGGCTTAGTGATAGAGTGCTTGCCTTGCATGCAGGAGGCCCTGAGTTCAATTCCTCAGCACCACATAAGCAGAAAAAGCTGGAAGTGGGCTGAGGCTCAAGTGGTAGAGCGCTAGCCTTAAGCTGAAGAGCTGAGGGACAAGGCCCAGGCCCAGAGTTCAAGCTCCATGACCAACCAAAAAAAAAAAAAAGTGTAACAATTTCTATAATTCCACCAACCAGACTCTACCTCCAGGCAGCCCAACTGAGAACCTGTTCATTTATTTTTGTTGTTGTCCTGAGACTTGAACTCAGGGCCTGCACAACATTGTCCCTGAGCTTTTGTGCTAACGATTAGCGCTCTACCACTTGAGCCACACTTAATGGAATGTGTATGTACACATGCACACATGTGAGTAACTGAGTAGCTAGGATTACAGGAGTGAAACACCGGTGACTGGCTATTTTTATTCTTGGTAAATGAATTAACTCTTAACAGGTACTGTGAAAAAGTGTGGCTTATTGAAGATAATTCATGAGAAATACAAAACCAACAAAAAAGTGGTGGATCCCATTGTGTCAAATTTTCTTCAGTCCTTTGAAACAGCCATTGAGCATAACAAAGAAGTAGAGCCGCTGCTGGGAAGAGCACAGGTGAGCCTAAGCATGCATGACTACCCTCCTGCCCCTTCCCTACACCTTGCACATGAGACCTTGCATAAAAATTACCTCCCCCGCTCCCACCTACCCCTATAATACCACCTCCTTCCAGTAGAAATGAGAAGACCAACTGGGTTAGCACCCAAGTAACACTGATGAAATTGTGACATGTTTAGCATAAATTTATATGCATTGGCCTTTTACCTTTGAGAGGTGTGTGTGTGTGTGTGTGTGTGTGTGTGTGTGTGTGTGTGTGTGTGTGTGTGTGTGTGTGTGTGTGTGTGTGTGTGTGTGTGTGTGTGTGTGTACACACATACCAGAACTGTGTAATGTGTACCAGAATTTTACTTGGGGATTTGAGCTCTCTTTAGCTGTTGCTCAGCTTGCTCACTTAGAACCAGTGGTCTTTCTTGTCAGACCTGGGGCTTGAACTCTGGACCTGAGCTCATTTTGCTCAAGCTAGAACTCTGGCCTTTGAACCACAGCACCACTTCCAGCTTTTTCTATGATTAATTGGAGATAAGAGTCTCACAGACTTTCCTGCCTGGGTTAGCTTCGAATCACCATCCTCAGCTCTCAGCCTCCTGGGATAGCTAGGATTATAGGCATGAAAGTAAACCATTTTTTAATTATACAGGTAAAGTATATTGCATTTTTTAATGTGTGCCAGTACTGGCACTTGACCACAGCTATAACTTAGCTTTTTCACTCAAGGCTGATACTCTACCACTTGAGCCATACCTCTACCACAGGTTTCTTGCTGGCTCATTGGAGACAAGAGTCTCATGGACGATCCCCTCCCGGGGTTGGGTTCAGACTGCCTTTTTCCAGGAGTGTAGCATTTCACACCTTTATGAGCAGCTCAGCATGACTAAATTGAAGAGACCTGAGTGCATGGTTCTTGATCATTACTTGGTCACAGAACTGTTCTGTGTTGAAATAAGTGAGGAACTTGCACAGAAAACAAATGTAGATCCAAACTCAGACCCACATAAAGAAAACCCAGAGGTTGGTGAGCCTGCAGACGAGTCCTCCATAAAGGTGAACAGTCCTGTCTCCCCTCTGCCTTGTAGACTGAGTAGCAGGACTGCTGGTGGGTGCCCTGCCAGCCAGGTTACCTCACCACTGATCTCAGCCCATACTCTGTGACTAGAGTGCTAAATATGGGTCTCCTCCTGCATAAAGCTGGTGTCTTCCCATGCTTTTCACCATTGCTTCCATTTTCTGCCGCAGCCTTGGGTGCTGGTGAGGAGTTTATGGCAGGCGGAGGTGAGGAAGGGGATTTTGCTCTGGATAAGGGCCCAGAGGCCTCTTTGCAGTGTCCTCCCTCCCCAGCTGCACATGAAGTCCTCTGGAGCAGGACCACCTAGCTTTCTCTCTATCACAGCATCCTAATGGCTTGTTTCTCACTCTGTCCCCCTCACAGAGTTACATGTAGTGATTCTACATATCACATGCTTCTCAGTCACCACTCAGATCCCCAGAAAAGTTAATAAGCCAGAAATAAGACAAGAGGGCTCCCCTCCCCCCATTTTTTGTGTACCTGTCCTGGGGCTTTAACTTAGTGCCTCAACACTGTCTCTGAGAGTTTTTTTGTTGTCGTTTGTTTGTTTTTTACTCAAGGCTAGCGCTCTACCACTTGAGCCATACCTCCGCTTTCTAGCTTTTTGCTGCTTAATTGGAAATGAGAGTCACACAGATTTTCCTATCTGGGCTGGCTTTGAACATCAGTCCTCAGATCTCAGCCTTCTGAGTAGCTAGGATTACAGACATGAGCCACTGGTGCCTGGCTAAAACCTATTTATCTTAAATCTCATAATAGTTTATATTGTCTTTGAATTAACATTTTTTTGTTTTTTGTTTTTGTCAGTCATGGGGGCTGAACTCTGGGTCTGGGTGCTGTCCCTCAGCTCTTAAGCTCAAAGCTAGCTCCCTACCACTTAAACCACAGTATCACTTCCGGCTGTTTTCTGCTTATGTGGTACTGAGGAATCAAACCTAGGACCTCATGCATGTGAGGCAAGCACTCTACCATTGAAGCAATTTCCCAGCCCCATGAGTTAACATTATTAATAAAAGTACTATGTTGTAAACTTACTCATAAGAACGATGAAAACTATTAGAGAGATCTTAAGAAAAGTAGGATTGCTGTTCTACAAATAACTGTTAACACCTCAAACCCATTTTCTCTTTGTAAAGATGTGCATTTTGTCCCGAAATGAGATAACACAAATTTAATTCATGTACCAATATTCCACCAATGCTTCTCATACATATCTGTGATGTTATTTTGTGTGTGTGACTTCATAGTCTTCCATATGGGGGTATGCCATGGTTTGATGTACCCAGGAACTGCTGTATCCAACCTGTATTTCACAGCTTTTGTGAACATCCCATTGCAGAATCTTCGTGTTTGTTTGAGTTATTAGACCTGTGGAATAACTGTAAGAAATGGCATTATTGGCCTAGATAATGGAATAAAAGGCCTGCACATCCTTGTGGCTCCTGCAGCAGAATCTCTGACATCACTGATAATGGACCCTAAGTCGGGCAGAGGGGAGATCTGTAAGCATTAGATTAGTTAGAAAACTGACCTCTCCTGCTTCCCATAGGAAAATTTGAATCCCTTAATAGTTCTGAATTTGTTCAAACGAATCCCAGCTGAAGATATTCCTCTCCTTCTGATGAACCCGGAAGCTGGAAAGCCCTCAGATTTGATTCTCACCCGACTTCTGGTGCCTCCCTTGTGTATCAGACCCTCCGTCGTGAGCGATTTGAAGTCTGGCACCAATGAAGATGATCTGACAATGAAATTGACAGAAATCATTTTCCTGAATGATGTCATTAAAAAGGTTGGTGCTTCCCAGTAGCTTCTAAGTTTCACAGTACATCCATCTGATCAAATGGACTGGCTTGGTTCTGATTTTGCTCTGTTCATTTTAGCATCGAATCTCTGGAGCCAAGACACAGATGATAATGGAAGACTGGGATTTCCTGCAGCTGCAGTGCGCCCTGTACATCAACAGTGAGCTCTCAGGCATTCCCCTTAACATGGCGCCCAAGAAGTGGACCCGTGGATTTGTCCAGCGCCTGAAAGGGAAACAGGGTAGGTTTCCTACCAAAAATGCAGAAGACGGCCACCACATTGAATAGCATTTCGTGGGGCCCATGTCAGTTATTTGTTTGGAGATCTCAGTCTCCCAGACAACATACGGTGTTCCTTGGAGACCAATAAAGTTTTCATTTATTTAGGTCGATTTAGAGGCAATCTGTCAGGAAAGAGAGTGGATTTTTCTGGTAGAACAGTCATCTCTCCTGACCCCAACCTCCGGATTGATGAAGTAGCTGTACCTGTTCATGTGGCCAAAATCCTAACTTTTCCTGAGAAGGTAAGTACCATTCAGCTCTCCAGTTTGGTTATGTGGGGTTGGGAGTGTGCACATGCCCACCAATACTGGGTCTTCACCTCACCTGAGGACCTCACATTTTTGCTTTGCTTTTTCACTCAGGGATAGCTTTCTACCACTTGAACTCTACTCTTAGCTTTTTGCTGGTTAGAGATAAGAGTCTCATAGACTTCATGTCCCAAAGTGAAGACAGGAGAGTCCTGTCTAGTTACCTACCCCAACAGTTTGTTTTGTTTGAGTATGTGCTTAACTTATACACGTAGAGCCATTTACACAGTCTGTGGTACAGGTAGCCACAGATGTATCTGCCGTGTGTGTGTGTGTGTGTGTGTGTGTGTGTGTGTGTGTGTGTGTGTGTGTATTGCATGCCATAGTAACATTACTATCCTCCAATTCTCTAATAAGTTTGATGTCTCCCTATACTGTTTTTTTGCCTCATGTTTTTAAGATAAGTAGCAAAATCCACCCCTCGTCAGTGACCTTGGGATGAGTTGTTCATTCTTCTCGGGGCAGAATCCCAGTCAGAACTGTGGCAGTATACCCAGAAAGGCTCCACACTCCGCATACACCCAGCATGTGTGTGTAAAATGGTATTTACAGCCCCTCTACCACATGCTTTCTTTTCCATTGAGAGTGAAATAACTGCAGAGCCTGATAAGAAGAACAATGCATTGATTAGGTGAGCTCTTGAGGTTCACAGTGAGCTCAGATCATTGATGATGCTGGTGAAGTTTGTGTCAAGTATCCTGATGAGTTAGAAATGATAGGAGGATGACTTTTTCTGAAATGGTATTCTGGAAGACAGTTGTCTAAGAGATGTCACAGAGCAAGGATATATAAGTTAGGTTCTGTGGTACCATTTTCACACCGTGTAAAACTTAGAGGACCCTGGTAAGTAATGGCAGAGAAATTGCCACTTAACTCTAGGACCAAAGAATGTTCTAGAAAGAAGGTCCAGCCTACACATTAGTCCAAACTATTTTACCAATGAGGAAACTTAAGACCAAGAAAGGACTTCTTCTAAACTGAGATTGTTTTCAAGAGTCTGTACTCACAGTTGTAGGACACAAATTGCCTAGGATGCCTCTAGAAACTGGACAGGGATAGCTGACTAGCTTATGGAAATCTGAAAGCTTCCTGCATCTCACTATGTTTTATGTGGTCCTACAGGTGAACAAAGCAAACATCAATTTTCTGAGGCAGCTGGTTCGAAATGGCCCTGATGTCCACCCAGGAGCCAACTTCATCCAGCAGAGACACACTCAGATGAAAAGGTGCTACCTCCCACCAACCCACAGTGACGTTCCCCATCACCCATCTAAAGAACACAGTCCCTTCTGACACGTGGGAAAAAAATGCCTGTTTGAGTTATAGTGGACCAGTGTGTGTCGTTTACTGTTTGCCCATACATGAAGTGCCCATTTGTTCCCTGACATGTAACATTGGACCTTTGGGATATGGAAGTGGGTCATTTTCCAAGTCACTGGGTTCTCAGGGTTCCCTTGAGCTTCTTACAACCTACCGGCACTCATCTCTCCAAGTAGAGTTCTCACCTCACTTGGTATGCAAAATGTTGACCTGACCACTAGTGTCTTTGCTGTCATCAGAAGGTTTGATCAGGTCATGGAGGGGGAAAGCAATGCTGTGTTTGTGTGATTTTTTTAAGACCATTTTTTTCATATCTTCACACTTTTTTTCTGTATATTTTCTAATATCTGTATTAGGGATTGCACCTGCAAGGTGAGTACCCTGACGCCACATCTCCAGTCCCTTTTTTGTTTTGTTTGGATCTTGAGATTATATACTCCAGGGTGACGTTGAACTTGTGACCTTCCTGCCTTTCCTCCTAAACAGTTGAAATTACAAGCAGGTACCACTATGCCCAGCTATACTTCAGCATTTCTTAATGCTTCTGTGTTAAGCTAGAGCTTACAGCTCAGTTGTCATAGTATAATAGACAACTTGGTTTTTTTGGTGACACATAAATAACACTAGGGCTTTATTTATTTATTTCCGGTTGTGGGTCCTGAACTTTGGGCCTGGGCACTGTCCCCCAGTTCTTCAACTCAAGGCTAGCACTCTACCACTTGATCCACAGCGCCACATCCAGCTTTTTCTGCTTATGTGGTGCTGAGGAATCGAACCCAGGGCCTCATGCATGCGAGGCAAACACTCTACCACTGAGCCACCTTCCCAGCCCCAACACTATGGCTTTAAAATGGAGGTGTTTATAGAACTTGGTGGCAAACATGTTATCCCAGCACTCAGGAGGAGGCTCATGTAGCAGGATAGCGAATTCTAAGCCAGCCTGGGCAGAGAGACCCTCTGTCAGAAAAGCAGGGCAGGGAGCATCTTAAATTTTGAGGAGAATGTTTGAAAAAAAGCCCTGGTGAGATGTGATTAAACACTATCAAGCTTGACTCCTCATCTAAAGTGGGAGAAATTGGTGGGAAAACTCTGATTGAACAGGTCATGTTTATCACCGCACATTCAGGTTTTTAAAATATGGAAATCGGGAAAAGATGGCTCAGGAACTCAAGTTCGGCGACATTGTGGAGAGACATCTTATTGATGGAGACGTGGTGCTGTTCAACCGGCAGCCCTCATTGCACAAATTGAGCATCATGGCCCACTTGGTGAGTGTGGGACTGCAGTCTGTTATCTCTGGAGTGCAAACTGGTTGTGTGTTTTTAATGCAGTACTAAACACCCAAAATTAAAGTTGCTTAAAATCTCATACCACCAGAACTTGTAAACTTCTTTTTTCGGTGGCAGTACTACAGTTTGAACTGAGGGATTATGTTTGCTATGCAGGCACTGTACCACAGAGCCGTGCCTTCAGCCTAAAACTAAAAAGAAGAGTACAATGAATTCAAATATTTCTGTCCTCAATGTGTGATAATTTTCAAGATTTTTGCTATAGCTACATTTGTTTTTCTTTTTCTTCTGTACTGGGATTAATCCCAGGACCTGGTACATGCTAGGTAAGAATTCTACCATTGAGCTATAATTCTCAACCTTTGGTGGGATTTTTTTGTTTGCTTACTTTTTTTTTTTCTTCTTGCCAGTCCTGGGGCTTCAACTCAGGGCCTGGGCGCTGTCCCTGAGCTGTTTTTGCTCAAGGCCACAGTGCCACTTCCAGCTTTTTCTATTTATGTAGTGCTGAGGAATTGAACCCAGGGTCTCATGCATGCGAAGCATACCACTGAGCCACCTTCCCAGCCCTGTTTGCATTTCTTAAATAGCTGTACAAAGGGGTTTTAGTTCAGCAAGTCAGTTTATGATTACAATGCATCTTGATCAGTGTCTTGTCTTCCACTGATCTCCTCCATCTCCCATACCCACAAGTTACATAGTTCAATTTTAGCCCTTAGTGTTTTGAGTCTGGGTTTCATCATGTATCCTGAAGACACTGGCGATCCTGTTTCATTGGTCTCCCAAGTGCTGCCCTTATAGGCCTATGCCACTACTCTCAGCCTCCTTTTTCTTCCCTCTGACAAACCCATGTGCTGTGTCTTTTTTCTTTGTTTTCGGTTTACACTGTCAGAAAACTAGCCCACAGTGCTCTAGTCATACCGAACAAAATGAACAGCCATTTCTTGTTCTCTGTAGCCCCTAGTTCACACACACATTTCCTCAGATGTTTCCGATATGCCTTATTACATTTGGTTTGTTGATCCAGGATGCAAGGTGTACATGGTACATTTAGTTGACATATTCCTTAGCCTCCATTGTCCTGAACAGATGTACTCTTCCTTTTAAAAAAGGCCAGCATCATTGTTGAGGAAGCTGGGTCATTTGTCCCATATTTGTTCCAGCCTGTACACACATGGCATCAAGTGTTTATTTCTTCTTTTAGTCCTGTAAGGTGGGAAGTTGCAGTCTGAAGGTGTGTGCAGATTCAAGGCCTACTTTGTGGCCTAGAAGAACCCTGGATGGTGCCAGCTCTTTCTAGGCTTCTTAAGGAAGCACATGGAGTCTGACCCACTTTTAGTGATGCTTTAAGGAGGCTAGCTATCAGGTGCTTCATGCTTCAAGATGCAGCCCTAGTTAATAATTTTTCTTTCTTGGCACATTTATTGTCTGGGATTCTTAAAATGAAGAAAAAAAATTCCTTGTTTTGATGCTAATTCTGTTTCCTCCAGTCAGATTGGGGAGTAAGAAAATGGTACTTGCTTACTTTCCAATTACCTGGCATTTCTACTTTGTTTTAATTTCTTCTTTTCCCATTGCTCTAATAGCCAGGAGGGTTATTTACTCAGATATTTTAATCAGCTTGTATTATTAGTCTTTTTCAAATGCAAAGCCAGACATCTTTGGTAAGAGGGAACTATGGACTCCTGTGTACATATTTGCCTCACAGTAGTAAGCCCATTTTGAATGAGGCTATAATAGGTACACACATATACAATCCTGACAGATGATATTAGAAATGTATTTCTTTAATGTGTTCAGTTTTCTAGGAAGAGACTTTTTAAAAATGGTTTGAAACAGAAGCTTTTATATGCATGCCTAAATCCTATTCCTGCTCGTTTTCTGTGCTGTTCCAAAGGCCAGGGTCAAGCCTCACCGGACCTTCAGATTCAATGAATGTGTTTGCACACCCTACAATGCAGACTTCGATGGTGATGAAATGAACCTTCATCTGCCTCAGACGGAAGAAGCCAAAGCAGAGGCCCTTGTTCTCATGGGGGTATGTAGTGTGGTATGGCCTGGCTTTGGTGCAGAGGAGGGCAGATCCCCTGTGATAGCCAAGGAAACAGGCTTTAAAATGTTCATAAGTGTGCCAGTACTGCCTGTATTGTTTCATCTGGTTCTCTCTCTCCTTCCTTCCTTCCATTCTGTTTTTGGGGGGGGGGCTCATACTGAGGCTTGGACTCAGGACATCCCAGTCTCAGCTTCTGCTTACAGCTTTGAACCTGCCCGCTCCCTTTATAATACATCCTTATTCCCACTTTCTTCCCTCTACTTTCAAAGCAGCAGTGGTGGGTTTCATATGCTATCTTCATATACAAGTGGGGTTTTTGTTTTGTTTTTTGGTGATACTAATTTTTTTTTCCTGGTACTGGGGGTTGATTCTAGGCTTTGTGCTCTCACCCCACCCACCCTGGCTCATGTCTAGTGCTTTTTTTTTTTTTTTGCCTCCCCTCAGGAAAGAACTGGGAGTTAGTGAGGAGCTAGGGCTCCCATTTCTCAGCCTTTCTTTCAGCTATTTCTGCACTACAATTTCGAAAACTTGGTGATACCAATCTCCTGGCTGCATAAGAGTGGCTGACTTGTTGTGTCTATTTTTCCTTCAGACCAAAGCTAATCTTGTAACCCCACGGAATGGGGAGCCCCTCATTGCTGCTATTCAGGATTTTCTAACAGGTGAGTTTGTGGGATTCATGGGGAAGGAGAGTTCTGACTGGAGCAGGTGATTCTTGTAATAGTGACTCATTTTGCTGTTTGTTCATTGCATTGGCTAATGTACTTATTTGAGGTATTTTGCAATCCCAGCATGGGCTGGGCATTTTCTAGTATTTTGCCTAGAATCCTGTTTCGGTCAGTAAGCAGCAGTGAGTAAGACAAAGACATTTATGGGATGAGAGAGCCAGTAAGCAGCTGTGTATTTGATTGATGTGTACTAGTATTTGAACTCAGGGCTTATGCTTGATAGAAACTATTCTACCACTTCAGCTATACCCATAGTGAGCAGTTATGTGTTTTGTTTTGTTTTGTTTTTTTGTTAGTCGTGGGGCTTGAACTCTGGGCCTGGGCTCTGTCCCTGAGCTCTTCAGCTTAAGGCAAGCATTCTACCACTTAAGCCACAGCACCACTTCCCGTTTTCTGGTGGTTTGTTGGAGATAAGAGTCTCATGGGCTTTCCTGCCTGGGCTGGCTTTGAACCATGATCCTCAGGTCTCCACCTCCTGAATTGCTAGGATTACAGGTTTGAGCCACCAGCACCCGGCTTGTATGTTTTAATTCATTAGAAATTGCCTCATTTTATGTGAAAGTTAAAATTTTGTGGGTGTTTCCCAGTGTTGGGTTTTTAATTTTTGTGTTGGTCCTTTACACTCTCAGGTGCCTATCTTCTTACCCTCAAGGACACTTTCTTTGACCGAGCCAAAGCTTGCCAAATCATTGCTTCAATATTAGTTGGCAAAGATGAGAAAATTAAAGTGCGCCTGCCACCCCCTACGATATTAAAGGTATGTGTGGGAGGAGTGAGTGTGTGGATGGGTGGGTGGGTGGGTGTGCACCTTTGTGTACTTGGTTATCCATGTGGCTAAGCCAGTGGCAGACAATCACTGGGTGTCAAACTCAGTCCCTGAATCTCTGGCTTCCCTCCTCCTGCAGCCTGTCACCCTGTGGACTGGAAAGCAGATCTTCAGTGTCATCCTCAGACCTAGTGATGACAATCCTGTGAGGGCCAACCTCCGAACCAAGGGCAAGCAGTACTGTGGCAAGGGGGAAGACCTGTGTGTCAATGATTCCTGTGAGTAGGAGGAACTGGGCTGTGGAGAGAAGAGCATGTGGCCAGGACTGAGCTGCTCTGGGTAGTTAGACTCAGCAAACAAATCCAGTATGCCTCCAAGGCCCCTCACAGGAGGCTTATTCTTCAAGAACATTGCAGCTGGTATTTCTTGTCTCGGGTGTAATGCCCTGTTTCTCTTAAAGGTGGAGATCACACAGACGTGGGTTCTAGTGGGAAGCGCTTTCTTCTCAAGTGATTCTTTTTATCTTAAACTTTCTGGGGGAGACAGCAACAAGGGTCCTGTTATTTAAATCATACTATTTGTTTCTCTATGTCCAAATGCATTTAGTGTCTAAAAACACAACTAATAAATACCACGAGAGCTTTTTTGTTGTTGTTGTTATTGGTTGTGGGCCTGAACGCTGGGCCTGGGTGCTGTCCCTGAGCATTTCAGCTCAAGGCAAGTGCTCTACCACTTGAGCCACAGCACCACTACCGGCTTTTTCTGCTTATGTGGTGCTGAGGAATCGAACCCAGGGCCTCATGCATGCAAGGAAAGCGCTCTACCACTGAGCCACCTTCCCAGCCCCAAGAGCTTTTTTTTCTTTGGGTGCTGAAGATGGAATTTGTACATGATGCTAAACAAATGCTCTACCCCCAAGTTATACCCCCAAGACTAATATCTTTTTTACCTGTCTCAACTTGATAGTAAGCTTTTGATGACATGAAGATCAGGTGTAATGGGAAGAACTTAAATGCAAGTCATCTGAGACTGTCAACAATAGTACAACCCCAAGTATGTTCACAGACCAGTATCCACTTGTTACCTTCTGGGGAAAGAGCCTATATCACCCCAGTTCACTATCAAGCCACCCCCTAATAGGCTACTATGGGCAGTACTGATGTAGAATGGACTTTTCTAACACAGCCTTGATATTAGAAAAAATGTAGGAAACTGTGCTAAAGTGGATTTTCATGCTTTGCTAAAGGGTAGAATTTCAACTGCCTTCTGGGTTTGTTTGTTTTTTATTGTTTGCTTTGGGGTTTGATTTTGTTGGGTTTTGTTGTTGGCTTTTTTTTTTTTGTGACAGTTACTGGTGCTTTAACTCAGGGCCTTATCTCTCTTGCTTAGCTTTTTCACTCAAGAGTAGTGCTTTATCACCTGACCCACACCTCCACTTATAGGTTTTGTTGGTTAATTGAAAGTAAAAGTCTCTGATTTGTCTGCTTAGGCTGGCTTTGAACTTCTGTCCTCAGATCTCAGCCTCTTGAATAGATAGATTTATAAGCCTGTGCCAACAACATCCAGATGCTTTCCTAAGGTTTGTTCCCTTGAAAATATGCTTCCTAAAAGTAGTGTGTGTACACATACAGTTGTACACATATAAATACATATACGTATATATATTCTCCCTGGAGCCAAGCTCAGGATAGAGTGGGTGTGGTGGTGCTTGTCATGTGCAAAACTTTGAGTTCACTCCCTAGCACCAAAAAAAGAAAAATTCCCTTGTCTTTCCTTCTCTCCTTCCTCTCTTTCTCTCTCACATTCACATTGTTGGAGTTCAGAATCAGGGCCTCACACATCTGGAGTGCCCATTTACTAATGAGCTCCTAGCAGCTTCTTTTGAACTATTTTTGTTTCTTTCAAGAGTCTAATTTTATTTCATCTCCATTTAGGTTATTCGTGACAATGCCTCTGTTAGCTTTCAGTATTTTTGTGAATAACAAGTTGCTTTACAGGTTGTTCATGACCATGCCTCTGTTAGCTTTCAGTATTTTTGTGAATAACAAGTTGCTTTACAGTTTACAACGCACTTTGCCATAAGCACTTTCATCTGATGCTCTAAATATCCCATCGCAGACAACATGTGTTTGGTGCTACCATCTCTCAATCACTGATGAGAAGAGTGAGGGTCATGAGTCCATGCCAGGGTTGTCCCCACAGGTTAGCTGACTGGACTTTCATACTTTCCACAAGTCCCTAGGAAAATCTTTAAATAGAATTCCTGTTGGTTTTGCTTTAACATGAAGTGTGGAAAAATTTTTCCCAATTGCCTCGATTCCTTTGAAATGAGAGAGAGTAATAAACAGTTGTTGAAATGAATCATCACTATTGTTTTTCCAGATGTTACAATCCAGAACAGCGAGTTGATGAGTGGTAGCATGGACAAAGGAACCCTGGGATCAGGGTCCAAAAACAATATCTTCTACATTTTGCTGCGAGACTGGGGGCAGAACGAAGCAGCTGACGCAATGTCACGGCTTGCCAGGCTGGCTCCCGTCTACCTGTGTGAGTATCTCGGCCTCCTGCTAAGGAGCCCTCAGGGTTTCTTGTTCCACACTCAACACATACTCACATAGTTGCAAAAGGCAGGACACTTGATCCAAGCTAAAGCGTTTTGCTTTTATCAACTTACCTCATTACTAACTAGTTTGCAGGTTTTAATTTACTTTTCTTTTCAAGATCTACAGTAGCTCCCTATTGCCTACCAGAGAGGGTTGTACCTTGGAAGTACTGAGTTCTCTCGAGGCCAGACCAGATAGTTCATTGTTGCCCTTCAGTGCTCACACGTTCTCTCTGTTCATGCTCTGATCATGTCATGTGTCCAAGATGCTTCATGCCCCCTAACACCTCACTGATGTACTCCTTGCCTTGCTATAAATTCTAGATTGATAATGATATTCCCTCAGAACTTAGAAGGAATCATATTCCATTGTCGCTCTCATTGTTGCTGCTAATATGTGCAGCCAGTCCTACTGCCTCAGTTTATAACCCAATTGGAAACAAAATCCTCTCTTGTTTTGAAGATTCACAACAGAATGCCCTTGGTGTATGTCTTTTTTTCATTGATTGTAATAATAAACTTTGCAGCAATGTCTCCTTCAGTTCTCAATATTTTCTTATGTTATTCTAATAATATTCTCTACACATCCTATCTTTTTGGAATTCCTGTTAATTATGTTTTAGAGTTCCTGGGTTGATGGCTCTAATTTTCTTCTTTTCTCTTTTATCTGTTTATTTTATGATTTATCTTTTAATCTTTTTTTCTTTCTTTTATTTTTTTTCTTTTTATGTCATCCTGGGGCTTGAACTCAGAGCCTGGGTGCTATCCCTGAGATTTTTTTGCTCAAGGCTAACATTCTGCCACTTGAGCCACAGCTCTGCTTTTGGTTTTTCAGTGGTTAATTGGGGTTTCTTTCCTACTGAGGCTGGCTTTGAACCATAATCCTCAGACCTTAGCCTCCTTAAGATAATAGATTAATAGAGTGAGTCACTAATCTTCTGATTCATTTATTTATTTATTTCATGGGCTTGAACTCTGGGCCTGGGCACTGTCCTTCAGCTCTTCAGCTCAAGGCAAATGCTCTACCACTTGAGCCACAGTTCCATTTCTGGTTTTCTGGTGGTTAATTAGTGATAAGAGTCTCACGGAGGTTCCTGCCTGGGCTGGTTTTGAACCATGCTTCTCAGCTCTCAGCCTCCTGAGTAGCTAGGATTATAGGCATAAGCCACTGGCACTCAGCCCTTGTTCTGATTTTTTTTAATGTTTTCTCTACCATACACTTAATTTACAACCTTTTTTTTTCTTCATTATTCTTATCTGCTAGTAAGTGGAACTTTCTTGTTTGGTTTGGATTTTCTTTTGGGCTGCCTTATCTTGATCTCTGAGTGTATTTTCTCTATTACTCTGATGCAATATCACGTTTAGTTTTTATTGTATTTGCTCCTCTGGATTTTATCACCTTTTAATTTTTTCCCTATATACTTGTCTTCTGTCTTCAGTGTTAGGAACTGTTGTGAAATGTCCAGGGGTCCATGACTGTCTGTTCATGTTTCAGTGTGAGGCACTAAAATAACAATTAGAAGCAGTGCTGACTGGCTAGTGGGCTTCTCAGTTTCTTGTGTTATTGATCTGAAAGCTAGCTTCCTTATTGGGGGTCTGCCTATGTCTGTGTCTCTGTCAGTATCACTGTTCTCTACACTTGATTTCTATAGAGCTGTCACTTTCACTCTAAATCTCCTACCCAAGGAGTCCAGGACCTAGAGTTCATAAGGAAAGGAAACTTAGGGCTCTCCACCATGGAATACACGGGCTTACCCTCTTTAGTCCCATCTACTGCACATGGTACCCCCTGAATCCAGTGCTGCTGTCTCCTTTTCTGGGAGAATTGAGCTCCCATCTCCCACAGAGGCAAGAGCTGGAGCCTATTCTCACCCAGACCCTACCATGTTTTCTTATCTTCCCCAGTGTCTACAAAACCTGGTGATCTCTTCTGAGCCCTTCCAGGCTCAGCTCAGCAGTACAGCACTGGATTCTGCCCCCAGCACGGGAAAGGAAGGAGAGAGAAGAAAGGGACTAACAGAGGAAGGGAAAGAAGGACATTGCCAGACTTCCTTGGCTTCTCCCCAGAGCCTCTGTCGTCTGGCTTCTTGGTTACCACAGTCACCTGTGGTCTCACAAAGGGAGAGTCCAGCTCAATAAAGTGTTTGGAAACAGAGACCACGCGCCATAACTTTTTAGCAGCATATTGTTACAATTTTTCTAGTTTAATCATCATCTCTTTTTTGTTCTTGTTATTTTTGGTGCTAGTCCTCAGGCTTGAACTTGGTGCCTGGGCATAACACTGAGCTTTTTTTCCTCAAGGCTAGTGCTCTACTACTAGAGCCACAGTTCCACTTATGATTTTTTGTGGGTTTCTTGTAGTTGTTGCGATGATGACGATGATGATGGTGATGATGATGATGATGATGATGATGATGATGATGATTACTATTAAGCAGTTGTATAAAGGGGTTACAATTCCATAAGTCAATGTCACTCTTCTGGCATCTTTAGTGCCTAGTTGAAGACTCTCATGACCTTTCTTGCCCAAGCTGACTTCAAACCGCCATCCTTATATCTCAGCCTCCTGATTTTAGGATTACTAGGAACCACCAGTACCAAGCAGTTGTTATTCTTTTACTGTGCCTATTTTAAGTTAAACTATGACAGTTACACATGTATAGTAGCTTGTGTAGGGTCTGGTACTCTGCAGTTCCAGGCAGACAAGGGGACCTGCTGTACACTGAAAACTCTTGTAATGGATGTATTCTCCCTTGAAGCCTTACTGATGAGGCGTGTGCTCTCTTCCTTCTCTGTCTGCCAACTCTTCTACAGCTAACCGCGGGTTCTCTATTGGGATCGGTGATGTCACCCCTGGCCAAGGACTCCTGAAGGCCAAGTATGAGTTGTTGAATGCTGGCTACAAGAAATGTGATGAGTACATCGAGGCCCTGAACACAGGCAAGCTACAGCAGCAGCCTGGCTGCACTGCTGAGGAAACACTAGAGGTAAGACTAGCCCTGTGATGCTCGTGGTGGCTGAGGGGGTATGACCTGGGGTTGGGCCAGAGCCACAGAATCCAGGTAACAGAGCAGCAGGAAGGCAGTGGCTCTATGGTGCTGAGCTGGCTGGGTGGCTCCCTTGTTTACCAAGGCAGGGCCTTTGCTCTCTTCTACCTTTCAGCTTCTGGAAGTTAATGTGCAGTTGTTGGTTTGGCCACACAGGCCTGCTGTTACCACCATCTTACTCTCAGGCCCCTCTGTGACTACTTCAGTGGCCATGGCTCCCCAGCTCTGTGAATGGGTGGTCATTAAAGTCACTTGGAAACAAGACAGGAGACACTCCTGTCTGACAATCCCTTACCACCCACTGCCCCTTAGCAGAAGGCTCATACAATGGTGTCAGAATCACCATATCTTCTAACACACATTGTACATAGTACTGTACAAAAAATATACATTCTGCCTTGTGGACCATCTAAAGAAGTGTTGAGGTTTTTTGGTACCATTCTTCACCAGTGAAGCCAGAACCTTGTAGAAAATGCAGTGTTTGAATAGCTAGGGCATTTTGATCCTCTAAGACTCTATAACCTTTATTGATGAGAAATCTGACATAAGACTCTATAACCTTTATTGATGAGAAATCTGACATCTTGCTTAAATATTCTTAAGTTTTGTATAAATTCAGGCTGGACATTTATAAGCCACACAGCCAGTAAACACAACACCCACGGATCTCCTTTTCTCTCCCCAGGCCCTGATCCTGAAGGAATTATCTGTGATCCGAGACCATGCTGGCAGTGCCTGCCTCCGAGAGCTGGACAAGAGCAACAGCCCCCTCACCATGGCCTTGTGTGGCTCCAAAGGTGCCTGGGCCCCTGTGGAGTACTCTCCCTGCTTCCAGGAAAACCTACTCTGGGTAGCTGTAACTCCAAGCTGGCTCCACATTTCTTTAAGAGAATATCATATCCAGTGAGAGGCAGAGTACCTTAAGTATTTGCATTTGAGGAGACTTGACTTCTTTAGAGGAACTAGTTGGGACTTGACTAAACTCAATCCTGGAAAAAAAAAAAAAAACAACTTGGGATTATTTCAGTGGTATATGTTTAGTGGTGTGGCCAAATTCTCTAATTTCGTAGATACTCAGACCCTTAAAGCACTGGGGTTCATGATGTTCATTCAGATTCAGAATTTGTAGGCCTGTTTTTTTAAGTTTGGGGGATTTTTGGTTTTGGGGGCTTTGGGGGGCTTTTGTTTGTCTTTTTGTCGGTTGTGGAGATTGAACTCTGGACCTGGGTGTTATCCCTGAGCTCTTCAGCTCAAGGCAAGTGCTCTACCACTTGAACCACAGCGCCCACTTCCAGCTTTTTCTGTGTATGTGGTGCTGAGGAATCGAACCCAGGGCCTCATGCATGCAAGGCACGCACTCTACCACTGAGCCACCTTCCCAGCCCAGAGTTTGAGTTTTTGTTTTTGTTTTTTAACAAAGCTCTAGCTTCTCTAACTTTGCCGCCTATATCCGTTGTTCTGCTTTTCTGTTCCTGGTACATACCCTACACCCTCCCCCTACCTTCCTACTGTGACTGACGGCTCCGCTTTGCCTTGCCTTGCCCTGCCTTGCTGTGGCTCTGCCCTTCAGCACCCTTGGCCTGTGAGCCTGTTGAGGATAAGGGCTGTGCTATGTCATACTACTGTTTTATCCCCCTGATGTGCTTACACTTCCATTTATTATTCTTGCTATTATTCTCCTGTCTTGTCTCCCCAGGCTCCTTCATTAACATATCACAGATGATTGCCTGTGTGGGACAGCAAGCCATCAGTGGCTCTCGAGTGCCAGATGGCTTTGAAAACAGGTCCTTGCCTCACTTTGAAAAACACTCAAAGGTAAGCACTAGTGGAGCAGAACTTGAAAGGCCCCTACATGGACTGTCTTCTGAGGAACTCAGACCTATCCTGATCAAAGGCCATTGGCCACTGCATGCAGTACTTGCATAGGTCTGTAAGTTTTTACCACTATATTGAGATATATTTGGTATGTCATATTTGCTCACAATTCAGTGTCTTCGTGTATTTGTAGTTTGTGATCATTACTACAGTCTACTTTCAGAGCATCTTTTGGGTCCCAGAAAGAAACCATGTTCATTACATACACATGGTGATGATTTGGAGGAGAGCAGGTCTGGCCCTCAGGAAGGATGTCTTAAGGGAAGTCATTTCCCAGGAAGAGAGTGGGGTGCCCTCTGAGGTCCTTACTGCTTGCCTGCCTCTGCACCAGCAGCCTGAGTTCAGGTTTCCCTCTCCTGAGCCACTTGCCTGCCTTTGATACCTGCGCCAGGCCCCTCTGAGAGCTCGCCCTCTGCATCTTCAAGGCAAAGCGTACAATGCCTGCTGTTTAATAAAGAACTCTAGCTGGGTATTTATAGTCCAAAGGTGGGACTTTTTTTTTTTTTTGGTTTGGATGGATTTTAGATATGGATCTTGAACTTAAATTTTTTTTTTTTTTAAATCTCCCTAGCTCCCAGCTGCCAAAGGCTTTGTGGCCAATAGCTTTTATTCCGGGTTAACACCAACCGAATTCTTCTTCCACACAATGGCTGGTCGGGAAGGTCTAGTGGACACAGCCGTAAAAACAGCTGAAACAGGATACATGCAGGTAACCTGAAGAAATATAGGTCATTAGCAGCAGAGCAGGACAGCTCTGTGGGTTTGACTGCTAAGTGTATTTATGTTTGTAATAAGTAATATTTTATCCAGTCTTTGTTATATGTATACAGAAAATAAATAGCAAAAACAAATAAGACAGTGAAAGTAACCAAACCTTGTTCTGTGTAACTATTGTAAGCTAATAAACAAGCTAAATAAATTGATTTTTGAGGGAGAAGAGCAGTTCAAGGCCTGGGCGCTATCCCTGAGCTACTTTTGCTCAAGGCTATCTGTCTACCACTTGAGCCACAGGGCCACTTCCAGCCTTTTCTAAGTAATTTATTGGAGATAAGAGTCTCATGGACTTTCCTGCCCTGGGTGGCTTTGAACTGGGATCCTCATGTCTCAGCCTCCTGAGTAGCTAGGATTACAGGTGTGAGCCACCAGCACCTGACTTAAAAAAAAACTGATAGGTCCCAAGTCATGCGGTGTACCTTGAATGACAGAACAGGCAAGAGCCACACTGGTCAGGGCTCCCTGAGATAAGAAGGTATACGGAGTGTTGTCCAGGGTACGTCATTTCACCTCCCTGTGTCTACTTCTTACCTAATACATGAAAATGGGGAGATAGTGAGTGCCTCTCATCTGGCAATGATCCTGTCAGTTGTTAATACCATGCATATTGGCTCCAGGGCCCACTGGAGGGCTGGAACACGTAAACAGTGCCGCTTTTCCAGAGATATTTAGCCATGGGATGGAAGGTCCTGAGGTACAAGGCTAAACTAAAGGGTTTTCTGTTCCTGTGCTTCTCAAACTTTGTCACATATGTATCTAGCGGCAGAGGAATAAAAACTGGTCCCTCCAAGTTCCTTCATAAGAGCACATCAGTGGGACTCTTCAGACTCCGGTTGTCATCTCTCCTCCCTACTGCATAAATAACTGCTGTGTGTGTGTGTATAAAGACACACACACATTCACATATGCTAGGCCTCACAAATGCTAGGCAAACACTCTACCCCTAAGCGGTAGCCCTAGCCTTTAAAAGTTTATAATGTTTTTTTTTTGTTGTTGTTGTTTTATTGTGAAAATACTGTACAGAGGGGTTACAATTACATGGGCAAGATAATGAGTATATTCTTTATCAAGCATTATAGCCCCCTCCTTTGTTTCCCCTTCCCATCCTCCCCCCGCCCCTCCCCAAGTTGCAAAGTTTGTTTTCCACATAACGACTTGTACTTCTCATTGTTGCAATGGGTCCACCTGTATCCCTATTTAAACGACTTGTTTTTTCCCCTTCCCCTCCACAAATTATACCGACATCTAAATACAGTGAAAGCACGGGTTGTACTGTGGGGGAGGGACATACAAAGCAAAGTTTTTAATGTTTTTAACTCTGCCAGTTGACCTTCCTTTTGCTTTGTGTCCTCTCTGTTGCCCTGTGAAGCATGGCTCTTTTTTGCAAGACAAGAAACTAGGATGAGTAAACCAGAGGTATAAATGGGCTAGAACAATCAAGAGGGTGAGGGTGAAAACAGTCAGTAGACACCTGGTTCCCAATTCTGCACCTCCCTTGTCATTATCTGGTCCTCTTACTCATCTTATTATGATGGGAAACTGCCCTTCAGTTTCAGCGTGCAGCTTTTGTCAGAAACCCAACAGACTGTGAAATGCTTTTACCACTCTATCCATGATGTGTTTTGATTTTGTTTTTTGAAGTATACAGTATGACTTTCCCAGAACAGTGTGTTAACCTAGAAGAAATTAGTTCTGGCATGAGGGAATTTGGTTTTTTAAGTTGCCTAGAGGAAAATTTCTCCTTCCTCCCCACTTTTTTTCTCTCATGCACTGAGCCATCATCTCACTGCTGGCTAGTGCTAGAAGGTTCTCTCTGAGCAGATTTGAGAAATGGTTGCTGCCCTCTGCTTCAATCACAATGCTGTCCTTGTTTTCTCTTACTGCTCTGTCCCACAAAAGGACCAACCCTGATTCTCTAATTCATGTTGAAGTCTGCAGGGGCCCTAGCTTGTTTTTAGAAATCCAAAAACTATTGCATGAATTTATACCTTAGAGAGGAGGAAAGAGAAGGCAAAAATGGCCTCAGGAAACTGTTTTCCAGCCCTTGGGGAGGTGAAAGTAATTGCGGTTTAAATGGCAGATATTCTTTTTTTTTTTTAATTAATTTTCTTTATTGTTACCATAGAGGTGATGTACAGAGGGATTGCAATTACATGGGTCATTTCCTTTCATACAGTGTCTTCAGTTCCATCTTTCCCTCCCAGTCCCTCCCTCCCGTCTCCACCCATGAGTTGTATAGTTCACTTGCATCAGTGTCCAGTGAGCTCCACGGCCACACTTTTTCACCCTTTTCCCCTTCCCCCAGCGCTTCTAAAGATGTACACTTGAATACATCAGACATAAGGAAAAGAAGACAGAATCATCAGAAACTAAAACCTATGGAAAAAGAAAAAGAGGTCTCTTGTTTCATTTCAGTATATATATTATTTCATATAAATATGAAGAGGCATTTAGGCATTACACTTTTCTGTTTCTCTCCTAAGATTTTTGGTCTTTTGGTCTCTTCTGGTTTTACTGTGTGTGAGTATCTAGAATCCTGTATAATTTATCATATTCCAGTGTATTTTAGATCTAATTTCCTCAGACCAGAGAGCACATGTGCCGTTTGTCTCTCTGAGCTTGGCTTACCTAATTTAACATGATTTGTTCTAGTTCCATCCATTTCCCTGCAGATGACATTATTTTATTCTAATGATTATGTAAAATTCCATTGTGTATAGGTACCCCACTCATCTATTGTGGGGCTGTTTCCACATCTTGGCTATTGTGAATAGGGTGACAATGAACATGAATATGCAAGTGTCCTTATCATATCTTTGAGGAATCTCCAGACTGCTGTCCAAAGTGGTTATACTAGTTTACATTCCCACCAGCAGTGCAGTAGGGTTCCTTTTCCCCCACATCCCTGCCAACATTTGTTGTTTTTCAAATTCACAATATTGGCCAATCTAACTGGGGTGAGATAGAATCTCAGAGTTGTTTTGATACTCATTTCCTTTATGGCCAGGGATGATGAACATTTCCTTATGAGTTTCTTTGCCATTCTTCTGAGAAGTCTCTACTTAGCTCCCTTGCCCATTTAGTGATTGATTTATTAGGTTTGGGAAGGGTTAGTTTCTTGAGCTCCTTGTATATATTATGCCTTTATCTGATGTATTGCTGATAAAGATCTCCCAGTTTTTTGGCTGTTGAGGAACTATGTCCTTGGATGTGCAGAAATTTTTTATTTTGATATAATCTCACTTGACAAGTCTTTCCTATCTGTTGTGTCTCTGGGACTCTAAGAATTTCTACCTATACCCGTAAGTTCTAATGTTTCTCCTATTCTCTCTTGCAGTGGTTTCAAAGTTTCCAGTATGACGTTGAGGCCTTTGAGCCTCTTTGAATTGATACTAGTTAGTGCATGGTGACAAGCAGGGATCCACCTTTAGTTTTCTGCATATATATGCCCAATTTTCCCAACACCAGTTATTGAAAAGACTATTTTTTTTCCCTGTATGTTTTTGGCTCCCTTACCAAATATCAGATAACTGTAAGTGTATGGTTTTATTTCTGGGTCTTCTAATCTGTTCCATTGATATTCGGGTCCATTTTTGTGCCACTACTAAGTGTTTTTGTTATTAAAGCTATGTAGTAGAGTTAGAGATCTGGTATTGTGATAGCACCTGAAATGGCAGGTATTCTGTAGTGCACTGTGACACTGGAGATTGGAGCATGTGCTGATGCTCACAGCACAGGCAAATGAGGTCTTGTTACTCTCAAGCAAGGGTATTGTCTTAAGGGATTTTTTTTTTTTTTTTACTCAGGCTTGAACTCAGGCCTGGGCAATTTCCCTGAGCTCTTTTCCTTAAAGCTAGTGCTCTACCACTTTGAGCACAGTACCACTTCTAGTTTTCAGGTGGTTAATTAGAGATAAGAGTCTCACAGACGTTCCTGCTCAGGCTGGTTTTAGCCTTGTGAGTAGCTAGGATTACAGGCATGAGCCACCAGCAGCCAGCTCTCATAAGGGATTTGTAGTCAAAGATGCTACCTGTATCCTGGGGATGAGGCTCCGTGGCAGTGCTTGCCTAGAGTGTGCAGAGCTTCAGGTTGGTCCTGAGCATTGCAAAAGCAAGTAAATAGATAGAGCTTATAACCTTGAAACTTGGAGTTACAGTCTCATCACTGCACACGTGACCAGCCTTGTAAGGGCAGCTGAGCTTTCTCCTTTTTTTCTTTAGAGAAGGCTGGTCAAATCCCTGGAAGACCTTTGCTCCCAATATGATCTGACAGTCCGAAGCTCCACTGGTGATATTATCCAGTTCATCTATGGGGGCGATGGCTTAGATCCTGCAGCCATGGAGGGGAAAGATGAGCCTCTGGAATTTAAAAGAGTTCTGGACAACATCAAGGTAAGATTAATACCATTTGGGCCTAGAGGGTTTCTGGGGATTCTCTCTATGTATGTGTGTGTGTTTGCCAGTCTGTGGCTTAAACTCAGAGACTGGGCACTATCCCTTAGCTTTTTTGCTCAAGGCTAACACTCTACCACTTGAGCCACACCTTCACTTCTGTTTTTTTTTTTTTAATAATTTTTATTTATTTATCATTATTATTATTGCTGTTGTTGTTTAATCATTCAAGGGGTAACATTCCATAAGATTATAAGAACCATGTTTCTTGGTCAATGTTACCCCTTCCTTTGGTCTCCACTATCCCCGTTCAGTCCCTACCCTCAATTTACATAGTTGATACTACATTGAATATAATAACTGCATTTTCTCACCCTTCCTCCCTCCATTCATGTATATTCTCCCTTCCTTTGCCTACCACCCAAACTGAGCGTGCGTGCGTGTGTGTGTGTGTGTGTGTGTGTGTGTGTGTGTGTGTGTGTGTGTAGATTGGTGGGGGAGGGGAGGAACTGGATTCAAACCACAATACTCAGATTTCAGCCTTCTCAGTAGCTAGGATTACAGGTATAAGCACCTGGCTGCTGGGAGTGGGAGGGATGGGTTTGAATCCAAAGCCCCATGTTTGCTAGGTAAATACTCACCACAAAGCCACACCTCCAACCCTTTTTTGCGGTGGTTATTTTTTAGTAGGGTCTCACTTTTTGCCCAGGTCCATGCTTGGACCACAATCCTATTTTTTTGCTTCCTTCCATAGTTAAAATGACAGGCACATACCATCTTTTTTGGAGATTGCAGATTTCTGGCTGGGGTGGCCTCAAACCACAATTCTCCTGATCTCAACCTCCCAAGTAGTTTAGGGTTTGAGCCACCTGTATCCAGCTTCTAAAGATGCTTTTTTAGGGTATAAGTACCATTAGAAATATCACTTCAGATTCATACTTCAGTCACTCCTCCAAGCACTGGATTTGTGTCTTTTCTCTCTTTGTATTGCTCTGTGTAATTTCTAGTAGTAACAAGGAGAGCACTCTTTCATTTTAAAGTCTAGTACTGGCAGTGATAAAATGCATTGGAAGAGGCACAAAGTCTCTCATGTCTAGTAGAGTGTATTGGAGACAAGGCTTATAAGTCATGGCTGTTGGAACATAAACTCTTCGTGCACCTTAGTTGGGTTGTAGTTTGGGGGGGTACTTTGTCAATATTAATGTGGACTTAGGTATGTACTTTTAACTCAGAAGTTACACTTTGGGAAATTTGCCTTACATGAGTGGCCTAAGTATGCCAAGAATGTTTTCTGATCTATCAACAGTAGAGGCAAACCGTCATCAGAGAGTACACCACTATCTGCCCACACACTAAGATGATAAGCAGCCATTGAAACTTTGGCACAATCCCATAAGCTTGATGCACACGCGCGTGTGTGTGTGTGTGCGCACGCGTGCACACTCATGCACACCTATACTGGAGCTTGAACTAGGGCCTCAGGCTCTTGCTCAGCTTTTTTCTGCTCAAGGCTGGCACTCTAGTTGAGACATATCTCCAACTCCTTACCACATTTGGAATATATGTCTTTTAAGCAACAGTGTATGTGTTTAATACACACCTGCTTTGGAAGAAAGTTGAGAAATACCAGAGCAGCACCTATTGAGTAGCATGAACTTTATGTAAGATGGAGTACCAGTTACCTGGTTTCCTCTTTGTGTGAAAGTAGAGTGCAGTTTGTTTGAGAAAAGCCTCAGGTTGCTAGAAGCTGGTTCTGAGTGCTATTTTATCTCTTGCACAATCCTCACCTAGTACTAACCCCCTCCTTCCTCTCCCCTTCATACATATGCTGTTGCCCTTGATCTGCAGGCAGTGTTCCCCTGTCAGAGTGAGCCTGCTCTCAGTAAAAACGAGCTCACGCTGACCACCGAGTCCATCATGAAGAAGAGCGAGTTCCTCTGCTGCCAAGACAGCTTCCTGCAGGTATGCTCCGCCAGGTGGTGCCATTGCACTCAGCTTGGCTGAGGCTGGGCACACTGCCTGTCCTACTGCTGGCAGGTGGATTCTCTCCCTCTCCTCCCCCTCCCCACCCAGGGCTGAGAATGAAGCCCAAAGTGAATGCTAGGCAAGCACTCTCCTGTTGAGCCCTGCCACACCTACAGCCCTTTTTGGTTTCTGTATTTTGTTGGGTCTTGTTGTATAGTTCAGAATGGCCTTAAACTCTTAATTCTTCTGCCTGATTCCCAAGTAACTAGGATTACCAGCATGAACCATCTCACTTGGTGACAAGTAGATTTTATAAATGGGGTTTTATCTTAGTTTAGTTTAGTTTAGCTTCAGTTTTAGTTTGTGTGTGAGTGTGCTAGTCCTGGGGCTTGAACTCAGGATCTGGGTGCTGTCCCTGAGCTTTTATGCATAAGCCTAGCACTCTGCCACTTGAACTACAGCTCCACTTTTGGCTTTTTGGTGGTTAACTGGGTATAAAAATCTCATGGGCTTTCCTGCCCACCTCAGTATTCAGATCTGAGCCTCCAAAGTAGCTAGGATTAGAGGCGTAATCAACTAGCACTCAACTTGCTTTATTCTTTTTTTAGTTTATTTTGATAAATATAATTTTATATGATCAGAGCTTACTTTATTCTTAACCCCAATTGCTCAATTATTAAGAGGCTCAAAAATAGCCTCAGCAAATCTCATTAGCCAATATAGTTTGTCTCATGCTTTATTCAGAAGCAGCTCCCTCTTAGAAGAAAAATGCATTGAGAACTAATTTTTCCTTTTTCAGCCCCTATCCCTGTTACCCTGCCTTCATTCTTATTTGTCAGCCATATTTTCCCTAGTCATGCCAAACCCATCATCATTAGTAACATCATTGAGTTAGCATTCCATTTTCTAGGAGTTGTGACCTTGATACCCTTTGAGATTCTTTTGATTGTTGCCTAAGCACCTCTTTCATGTTTATAATTCTGGTTAGAATCAAGCAAAAGGATACATAAAAGATAAATAGTCTATCACCTTTATGCACTGATTATAATTAAGTATAGCACAAGATCAACAGGGCAAGGAGAATATACAGCTTTCCCTTATCAGAGGTAAAATAGGAAACAAAGCTCAAATCAGAATGTTCTGTTAGCTGAGTGCTGTTGGCTCACGCCTGTAATCCTAGCTACTCAGGAGGCTGAGATCTGTGGATCACGGTTCAAAGACAGCCGAGGCAGGAAACTCCATGAGACTCTTATCTCTAACAAACCACTAGAAAACCGGAAGTGGTGCTGTGGCTCAAGCAGTAGAGCGCTTGCCTTGAGCTGAAGAGTACAGGGAAAGGGCCCAGGCCCAGAGTTCAAGCCCCACGACAAAAAAAAAAAAAAAAAGAATGTTCTGTTTAAGGACCCCTGTCCTGCTCCTGTGTGGAGGTCTGAAAGGTTAAAAAAGTCCCTTCTAAGTTTTCATGCCTTCAGGTTATAACTAGGCTAAGTGCCTTTGTTTTTTCCCTAGAAGTTTTGTTTCTCTTTTTCTTTATTTTTTCCTTTAAGTTGATAAGAATTGCCATTTGTTTTTTCTTTTTTGTTAATTTTTTATTGCTATTATAAAGGTTATATACAGACAGTTTACAGTCACACAGCTCAGGTTATGGGTACATTTCTTTTTTGACAATGCCACCCCTTCCCTCTCTCTCTCCCAGTTTTTCCCTCCCATCCCCACCCATAAGCTGTGCAGTTCATTTTCCACATAGTGTCTAGTGTGTACCACTGCTGCATTTGTTCACTCTTTGTCCTTCCATTTCTGTGTCTGCCTCCCTTACCTTCCCAAAGACCTTTAAGTGAATAAACAAGACAGAAAGAAAGCACAAACAACATAGAAAAAAAACGTTTCTATTTCCTGGAGTCCTGGAGTTCATTTCAATAAATGTTATTTTATATGATCATTTGGTTTTTCTGTATGCTTATGTTTGCTTATTTTTTTCTCTCCACTCAAAGACCTTGACTGAGACAGGCTATGAGAGATATAATGAGGTGATGTGTGAGCATGTTGTGAGTGCCATGCATAAAGGACATCTACTCCCACGGCCCTTCAGCTCTTTGTACCCTGGTTCTGGCAAACACGGGCTTCTCTTTGGCCCACTTATTTTCTTACCTTTGGCCAATTTCTCAAATGACCACCTGCCAGCAGAATTTGTCTGTTCAGAGGACACTAATGGCCAGGCACTGGTGGCTCACAACTGCAATCCTAGCTACTCAGGAGGCTGAGATCTGAGGATTGCAGTTCAAAGCCAGCCCAGGCAGGAAAGCCGTGAGACTCCTATCTCCAATAAACCACCAGAAAACCAGAAGTGGCTCTGTGGCTCAAGTGGTAGAGCATTTGCCATGAGCTGAATAGCTCAGGGACACCGCCCAGGCCCAGAGTTCAAGCTCTATGACCGACCACAAAAAAAAAAAAAAAAGAGGACGCTGATGCTGCTGGCATCATGTAGCACAAACTTTGTAGGTCTGGGGATGCCATTCCATAGCTTCTAATCTGACAAACTCAGATTTGCTGAGAGGGTCAAAAACCCACTAGCCATAATAGATTTGTGTAAGGCAACAGTTGTTCCCCAGCCCTAGCCCACACCAGAGCTGACAGGGCAGGCTGTGGCTGCCCGTGTGCTTAACTGCCTGCAGTGGCCATGCTGTGTGTTCTCTCTAGTACGTATGGGTTGGTTCAGCCGAATTCTTACTTCCGTGTTGGTTTCCACTAAGTGAGCCCTAACTTTTGTGTAAGGAAAGAAAGGTATTCTTTTTTTTGTAAAGCAAGCCACTGGAAGCATGTTCCTGTGTGTGACTGCTTTGAAATTCTCCCCAGTGGCTGCTGGGTAATGGTGATTTGTGTCTTTTTGTTCCTTATGTGTGCAGAGCTCACAGGTGACAACTTCTGAGTCTGCTTGGTGTTTGGTCTTGCTCCTGTCCCCTTTTCCTTTCTCTTCCTACCTTCCTTCCTTCCTCTCTCTTTCTCTTCCTCTTCCTCTTCCTCTTTCTCTTTCTCTCTCTCTCTCCCTCTCTCCTCTCTCTCTCTCTCTCTCTCTCTTTCTCTCTCTCTTTTTCCTTTTTTTGCCAGTCCTGGAGCTTGAACTCAGGGCCTGGGTGCTATACCTGAGCTTTTGTGCTCAAGGCTAACACTCTACCATTTGAGCCACAGCTCCACTTCTGGCTAATTGGAGATAAGAGTCTTTACTCTCCATCCTCATATCTCAGCCTCCTGAGCTCCTGAATAGCTAGGATTACAGGTGTGAGCCACCAGCGCTTGGCCTCATTTTTCTTCACTCATCTTTTTTGTTGTTGTTGTTGGTCATGGGGCCTGAACTTAGTGTTTGGGCACTCTCCCTGAGCTTTTGTGCTCAAGGCTAATGCTCAACCACTTTGTGCCATAGCTCTACTTCTGGTCTCTTGATAGCTGATTGGAGATGAGTCTCATGGACGGTCCTGCCCACGATGGCTTTGAACCATGATCTTCAAATCTCAGACTCATGAGTACCTAGGATTGTAGGCATGAGCCACCAGTGCCCAGCTTATCTTTTCTCATTTTTTTTTTTAAGGCTTTTTTTTTTGGTCCAGTCGTGGGGCCTGAGCTCTGGGCCTGGGCGCTGTCCCTCAGCTCTTCAGCTCAAGGCTAGCGCTCTACCACTTGAGCCACAGCACCACTTCCGGCTTTTTTCTTTTTCTTTTTCTTTTTTTTTTTGCTTCTGTGGTGCTGAGGAATGGAACCCAGGGCCTCATGCATGCAAGGCAAGCGCTCTACCACTGAGCCACCTTCCAGCCCTTTTCTCATTTTTTTAAAAGACAGATTCTAACTATGTAGTCCAGGCTGGCCTGGAACTCTGTCTTCCTGCCCTGGCCTGTTGAATCCTTGGACCTCTTGAATGTACCACTACATACCCATTCTGTCCAGATATCTGATTTTGGAGATGGCAGATTCAGAGAGAGCATCTGACCTCTTTTTGGCCCCTTGGTACCTCTGACTTAAGTAAGGTAACATGACTAATGGCATGCTGCCTCACAAAGAGACTTAAGGCTGTTTAAACATAAGAACATAGCCAAGCATGGTGGTATACCTGTAGTATCAGTCACTTGGGAGATTGAAATGAGATGATCATTTGAACCTAGAAGTAAATGACCAGCTCAGTCAATATTGTGAGACTGTCCCAAAAACAGTAGTTGAAGTGTTTTGGCCAGATGCAGTGGCTTATGCCTGTAATTTCAGCTACTTGGTAGGTGAAGATCAGGCAATCATAGTTCAATGCCAAGTAGGGCAAAAAGTGAGGCGCTATTAGGCATGGTAGTGTGACCCTGTGTTTCCAGCTATGGAGAAGATACAGGTCTGAAGCCAGCCGAGACAAAACTTCAAGACACTGCTAAAAGACAAAATAACAGATAATAGATTAGGGGTTAGGTTCAAATGGTAAAACACCTGCCTAGCAAGCAAGAGACCCTGAAATCAAATTCCCAGTACTAAAAAAAAAAAATCCATTTTTTCCCCAGGTTTCACAGAAACCTTGTCTAGCTTTGTTGTTTTTGTTGTTGTTGTTTTGTTTTGTTTTTGCCAGTCCTGGGACTTAAACTCAGGGCCCCGGCATTGTCTCTGAGCTTCTTTTGCTCAAGACCAGCACTCTGCCCCTTGAGCCACAGCACCATTTCTGGCTTTTTCTGTTTAGGTGGTAATGAGGAATCAAACCCAGGGCTTCATGCATGCCAGGCAAGCACTCTACCACAAAGCCACATTCCCAGCTCCTTGTTCATGGCTTTAACAGTGGTTTTCAGGAACCCTGTGAGCCCTAGGTGTGTGCAGAGTGGATTGAGACATAAGGGTGAGGGGGAGAGCAAGGAGAGCTAGGAGCAGCCAGTGTTTCCTTTGAAAAGAATGTAAGCTTGTGGCACATGTTCAAAAATGCATGGGAGTCTAAAGCTGCGCTTTCACTGGTAGTATTTAGTCCTCAACATAGCCTCAGAAGAATCCCCTGAGAATCGGTCCATGTACAGTGACAAAGTGTAACAGTACAGTTATGCCTGTATTGAGTGTATGACGGCCAGCCACCTGGCATCCTAGGAAGGTAAGAATGAGCTCTCCACCCCGAGTAGAATAGTAGGGGCCTAGATAGCAGTGCTGTGGGAGCCAGTGAAGTTGATGATGGCATATTAGTGGCCTGGTGACCTCTGAGAAAACCACTTTGTAACAGAATCGGTACCTATATTGTGTACTTGATACCACATGCTTAGCTACCACTAAAATGCAATAGCCATCATGTACTACTGACTGTTATTAAGTGATCACATCCAAGTTAATGAGAAACATATGCTGATATTTCCTCTCTTACCTTTCAGGAAATAAAGAAATTCATTAAGGGAGTTTCTGAAAAGATCAAGAAAACCAGAGATAAATATGGCATCAACGATAATGGCACAACAGAGGTACTAGTCTGCCTAGACATGTTAGGAAACAGATTTTTGCTAACACAGTTGACCCTCACTATGCTCTCGGGTTTTGTCCCTCCAGCCCCGAGTACTGTACCAGTTGGACCGGATCACCCCCACCCAAATAGAGAAGTTTCTGGAGACCTGTAGGGATAAGTACATGAGGTAAGAATGCTAACTCTCACAGGCTGTCCAGCATCCACCATAGGCCTCCGGTGTCTTTCCTGCTTCTTCCTCATAGGTCCAGAATCCACATCACCACCGTTTACTTCCAGGGTTGGAGGTGTCACTTCTTACTTATTTAGTGGGTTGCCAGGCTTGATGCTCCTGGATGTGGAAGTCACTACAAAGAAACTTGACAAGTGTCCTCCTCCACAAAGACACTTAACATATATGGCAGGTGCCATCTGCACTGTCCACCTACAGCACATGTGATAGGAGACCTTGTAGGACTCCTCCACACAGTGGATCCTGGGCTTGTTCGTGACATACTGACCATGCAGAACTCCATTGCATCCTCAGACCCTCTGTTCCAAGCCTGTGCTGGGTTCTTCCAGCACAGTCAGCCTAGTTCCTTGCCAGGTCCATCCTGGCTGTAATGGCATCTGTTTTCTGTTGGAAGCCCATCCCTAGCCCTCTGACTAGATTTCTTTGTCACACTGTGTCCTCACCTATGCCTTTCCCTTCCAGGGCACAGATGGAGCCAGGCTCCGCGGTGGGTGCGCTCTGTGCCCAGAGCATTGGCGAGCCAGGCACCCAGATGACCCTGAAGACTTTCCACTTTGCAGGTGTAGCCTCCATGAACATCACCCTGGGCGTGCCCCGGATCAAAGAGATCATCAATGCCTCCAAGGCCATCAGGTGCCTGTCTCCTAATGGAACACACCCTGGGGCACACTTTGTAAAAAGTCCCTGAAGCCAGGTGCTGCTGGCTCACACCTGTAATCCTGGTCATTCAGGAGGCTAAGGTCTGAGGATCACAGTTCAAAGCCAGCCGTGGCAGGAAAGTCTATGAGACTTCTAGCTCTTATTAACCACCAGAAACCAGAAGTTGCACTGTGGGTCAAATTCATGGAGCACTAGCCTTGAACAAAAGAGATCAGGGACAGTGCCTAAGCCCTGAGTTCTAGCCCCATGACATTACCCCTCCCACCCCTTCCCCCCCACCCCCCAAAAAAAGTCCCTCAGGTCAAAACTATGTGAAGCCAAAATGAAAGCCATATTTTTATTTATGGTCACACATCATTTGAAGGGGAGGGGGAGAAGACTGGGAAAACTAGAGCAGTATGTCTGTAGAGATTTTATTTCAACTTAAGTAGACCCAATTAATGGGTCTGTCACTTCATCTGGGTCCAGACTCTGGGATCCCTGGTGATTTTATACTGAGATTGATGGAAGGACTAAAGGAAGTAGCTATTACATTGCCTTTGATGACAGAAATCATGATTACCTAAGATGTAAGTCTAACTAGGAACAATGAGTGGCATTAAGTAAAAACTAAGAGTGACTGGACATCCAAAGTGCAGGTGGTTTGCCTGCTTCTGACCATCAGGGCAGAACCAGCAGTGGGAGTTCAGGGGATGGCGTCCCGAGCAATGGTGGGCTGAGAGGAGCAGGTGTTTGGGGAGAACATTGGAGGAAGTTGAAATGCACCAAGGGTCAGTTTACTCAGGGAACAGAAAGTAACTGCTGCTGGAGACCAGAGAGGAGGAGGAGGTAGGACTCCCTTTGTGTCTGGAAGGAGTTTCTGAAAATCTTTTCATTCACCAATAGAGTGAGTGGCCTGGGGAAATTCAGAAAAAAAGGTGGGGGCGGGGGAAGGCGGTGGTAAGTGAAGCCTTTATAGTGAGCCTGAAACCCAGTAAATGCTCAACAAATTGCAGGTACTAATACATGACGGATTGCAAGTAGCATTCAGCTTTAACAAAGCAGTGCTCTGCAGACAAGCCCCTTCCTTGGGCAGTAATCTATTCTCCTCCTCCTTGCAGCACTCCGATTATCACAGCACAGCTAGACAAGGATGACGATGCGGATTACGCCCGCCTTGTGAAAGGCAGAATTGAGAAAACCCTCCTGGGGGAGGTAAGAAACCCTCTGGATGACAAGAAAATGAGAGCAACAGCACCGGGGATGGGGGTGGAGGGCCCAAGGCAGCTGCAGTGGACGGAACAGTCCTAGAAGGGGCGTGCCCTAAGCGGGGGAGAGGCTAGCTAATGCTCTGGTCTTTGGACACCACAGATTTCAGAGTATATTGAAGAAGTGTTTCTTCCCGATGACTGCTTTATTCTCATCAAGCTTTCTCTGGAACGGATCAGACTTCTGAGACTGGAAGTGAGTCATGTAATTAAATGTTTGGAGACATCATCCTGCCTGTCCCAAGGCAGGGAGTAACACCTGAGGGCCAGAGCTAAACAGGCAGAAAACTCCATGCTAAGGGCTTCACTTGGCCTCTGCTGTTTGTGATCCTGAGGCTCCACCCCATCCTCTTTCTGAGCTGACATAGCACAGGCCTGGCCCACAGGACACCAGTGGACATTGTGCAGACCGGAATACCAGCTCACTGTGGCATGGTTTCAGGACAGTTGGTCTTTTTGTCCACCTTCCCAGTCCAGGGCTGCAGTGCCTTACTCAAAACCTGTGGCTCCCTAGCACTGCGGCTGGCTGGCTGGTTGATTCAGTGAATGTTTGTAGGCAAAAGGCTTATGTCAACATAGGTGTGTGTGTGTGTGTGTGTGTGTGTGTGTGTGTGTGTGTGTGTGTGTGTGTGTGTGTTGGTACTGGGGTTTGAGCTTAGGGCGTGTGTGTGTGTGTGTGTGTGTGTGTGTGTGTGTGTGTGTTGGTACTGGGGTTTGAGCTTAGGGCCTACAGGGGTTTGAGCTTAGGGCCTACACTTCCATTTTTTGGTGATTAATTGGAGATAATTATGGACTTCTCGACCTTGGCTGACTTTGAACTGCAATCCTCAGCTTTCAGTCTCCTGAGTAGTTAGGATTATAGGCATGAGCCACTGGTACCTGGCCTTATTTTTGTTTTTTAAGGTAAACAGAATAAGTTATTTGAAAGTAGAAAGAAACTAAGAAAAGAAAACAGAATTCTACTTTCCTTTTTGTTGTTGTTTGTTTTGGGCAGGATTAGGTTTAAACTTGGGAAATTGTAAATGATCTGCCACTTGAGCCATACTCCCCAGACCTTTTTGCTTTTGTTACTTTTTAAATAGGATCTCAATTTTTCCCAGGCCAGTCTGGACTATAATTCTTCTATTTATATTTCCCTCATAACCAGGATGGCAGGTGCACACCATTATTCTCAGCTTTTTCTATTGAATTGCAAGTCTCATAAACCTTTTGCCTGGACTGGCCTCAAACCAGAATCCTCCTAATATCATTCTCCTGAGTAGCTAGGATTACAGGTGTAAGCCACCTTGCCCAAATAAGCTGGCTTCTTAAACTGGTGTTTGTAGGTGCATAACAATGAGACAGATTGCAGATGGTACATGCTGCAGACTGAGTGACTCTGATACCCTCCTCTTCTCAGATAGTTACGCCTATGTGTCAGCCTTGAAAACATTGTCAGTCATACCCAATTGCCACATTCATGTAGTGTCTAACAGTTTGGGAACTCTTCCATCCTGTCTCCTGATACCTACCCTGTGGCTCTTACAGGTCTGAGATGGAACCAAATTATGGGTCAGGGATATAGCGCATTGTAGAGTGTTTAGCCTGCATGAGATCCTGGGTTCATCCTCATCACTGCCAAAAAAGGAGCTAAGTTCCATCCAGGAGTGTAGCACACAGCAACTAGTGGTGTCAGACAGGGGGTGGGGAGGGGGGTGGGGGGCGCCACAGACGCTTTTAAATCATTATGCCCTCCAGCCTCCCCAGAGCTTAGACTGGGGGAGGGGCAGGGGGTGGTATCTTGTCATGAAATGAGCATGAATTTTCCATGGGGCTAATATTCATGCTTGGGGTGAAAATTTACCTTTTCTGTGACTAAAGCACAGATATCTATAGATTGTAAACAGGTAGTTTCTGTGTGGTGGGTGATGAGTGCTACGAATGACCGAAAGGCTTCTAGAAGTCATGAAATTCAGGATGGGAGCATTGGAACAGAAGTCTGTAAAGTCAGTGATGCCCCCTGCTGCCTCATAGGTAAATGCTGAGACCGTGCGCTACTCCATCTGCACGTCCAAGCTGCGTGTGAAGCCAGGTGACGTGGCTGTCCATGGGGAGGCTGTGGTGTGTGTCACCCCCAGAGAGAACAGCAAGAGTTCTATGTACTATGTGCTGCAGTTCCTGAAGGAGGACCTCCCCAAGGTGAGGCAGAGTTGCTTCTCATGGTGAAACCAGTGGTGAGTAGGGCCTGAAGACCTGAGGACAGTGAGTCCAGGACATGGCCCTGATTTCTTTCTTTTTGATTATTTTCTTTATTTACTTTTTTTGTGCCAGTTCTGGGGCTTGAATTCAGGGCCTAGACACTGTTCTTTTGTGCTAAAGGTGAGTGTTCTGCCACTTTGAGCCACAGCTCCATCTCTGGGTTTGGAGTGGTTAATTGGATTTTTCTGCCCTGGTTAGGCTTTGAATTGTGATCCTCAGATCTCAGCCTCCTGAATAGCTAGGATTACAAATGTGAGCCACCAGCACCTAGCTGTCCCCTAGTTATTTCTTCCTCCTCCTCCTCTTCTTCTTCTTCTTCTTCTTCTTCTTCTGCTGCTGCTGCTGCTGCTGCTGCTGATGATGATGATGATGATGATGATGATTTCTGCTTTCTGCTTTCTGCTTTTCTTCTTTGTGGTTATGGGGCTTAAACTCAGGGCCTGGGCACTATCCCTGAGCTCTTTTGCTCAAGGATAGCTCTCTACCACTTCTGGTTTTCTAGTGGTTAATTGAAAAGAGTCTCATAGACTTTCCTGCCTGGGCTGGCTTTGAACCATGATCTTAGCCTCCTGAGTAGCTGGACTACAGGTTTGAGCCACCAGCACCCAGCACTTTCCTAATTGCTTCACGACTACATCCCCTAAAGGATTGGTGGGTTTTGTGTTAGCACTGACACATCAACCCTATCCATCAAATTTTCTGATCTCATAAAACTTACTGTAGAGTGAGACAGAGTCCCCTGAATTGCTCATCTCCCTGAGCCCAGACAGCACCCAGGGCCTCCTAGGTTTAATACATTCCTGGTGAGCTCTGCCGGGAATGCGGGGGTGGGAGGTTACTAACCCAGAGTTTGGTGGGGCCAAGGTGTTTCAGGCTCTCAGGCCCATGTGTCTCCAAGTCCAGGTGGTGGTGCAAGGCATCCCAGAGGTGTCCAGAGCTGTCATCCACATCGACGAGCAGAGTGGGAAAGAGAAGTACAAGCTTTTGGTAGAAGGCGACAACCTGCGGGCAGTCATGGCCACCCATGGTGTAAAGGGCACCCGGACCACCTCTAATAACACCTATGAGGTACCACTAAGCCCAGAGGTGCTCCAGAGGAGGCTGTCTCCCCAATGCTGCCCACAGGCTCTCAGCTGATTCCCCAGCACACCTCCTTTGCCTTGCCTTCGTTCTGGGTCTCCACTAAAAGTTACGTAGCCATTTCTGGGGAATGAGGCTGGGTTTGGTTTGAGCTTGCCAGGTAGAGGAGGAAGTAGACAGAAGCTGCAGGAGCAGCCAGAGGGCCTGTTCCCACTCATCCCTCACTCTCTAGGTTGAGAAAACACTGGGCATCGAGGCTGCCCGGACCACTATCATCAACGAGATCCAGTACACAATGGTCAACCATGGCATGAGCATTGACCGGAGGCACGTGATGCTGCTCTCTGACCTGATGACCTATAAGGTTCGTGTGGGGGAGGTTCTGGCATATCTGGGAGACTTGAAATCCACTGTCAGGGAAATACAGCCATGAGCTTCAGATATAATGTCTCAATGGCTGCTCAACAGAAAATAAGATGTCACCATCATGCAAAAGCCAAAGGCAAGTGTTCTGGTAAGATCCCAATGTGAGCATTGCAGCATCATGGGAAACTCACACCCAGGTGAGAACTAAAGTGAGATCCTAAAGCAAAACTAGCCATTGGCCCATTCACCATGCTTTTTCCTAATATAACCTGAAGAAGACTAAGGGTGGGGGTGCTGGGGTTAGTTGCCTGTGCTCTCCCCCTAAAAAATAAAATTTGCAAGCCATGTGCCAGTGTCTCATGTCACTAATCCTAGCTACTCAGGAGGCTGAAATCTGAGGATCACCATTCAAAGCCCAGCCTGGGCAGGAATAGTCCAAAAGATTCTTATTTCTAATCAACTGCCAAAAAAGCCAGAATTGGAGCTATGGTTCAAGTTTTAGAGCCTCGCTTGATCTTTTTTGCTCAAAGACAGCAACCAGGCTCTGAGTTCAAGCCCCAGGACCAGTACAAAAAGGAAGATGCAAGGGCTAGGAAGGTGGTTCAGTGGTAGAGTGCTTACCTTGCATTCATGAAGCCCTGGGTTCGATTCCTCAGCATAACATAAGTAGAAAAGGCCAGAAGTGGTGCCCTGGCTGGCTCAAGTGGTAGAGTAGCTAGCCTTGAGCTGAAGAGCTGAGGGATAGCACCCAGGCCCAGAGTTCAGGCCCCACAACTGGCCAAAAAAAAAAAAATGAAGATGCATTGGCTTTAGCAGTTCTGAAGGACAGCCAATTTTCACAATCCTCCCTGGTCTAGCCAGTACAGGACATGTAGAAAGCATGTAAGGGAGCCAGGTGTGAGCTCAGTGATAGAGCACATGCATAGCATGTGTGAGCCCCTGGGTTCCATCCCCACCACCAAATAAGAAACCCAAGTTGGGACAATGGCCACTCTGAAGAGAGGCTGTCAAATTCAAGTCTCCATGTTCATTCTTGCTCATTGTACTGGTACTGGGGCTTAAACCAACTGGTACCTGGGTCTTGTACTCTCCCTTTGCTTTTCACTCAAGGCTGGTGCTCTACCACTTGAGTCACAGCTCTCATCTTCTGGCCCAGGTAACCTGTGTCTCATGGACTTTTCTGTCTGCCCAGGCTGGCTTTGAACTACAATGCTCAGATCTCAGCCTCCTGAGTAGCTGGGATTACAGGTGTGAGCCAGTGTAGCCTGTCCCCAGTGTTTTTGTTGTTGTTGTTGTTGTTTTTTAATCCAAGACCAGGACTTGAGCTCAGTACCTGATACATTAGCTCATTGGCTAGCCTTTTTCTATGAGCCATGTCTCCAACCCTATGATCCTGGGTCTTAAACTTAGGGCCTAGTGTTTTCATTCTTCTTTTTTGCTCAAGATTGGTGCTCTATCACTTGAGTCATAACTCCAGTTCTGACTTGGTTACTCTGGCTTATGTAACTAAATTTGTCTGCTTGGGCTGGCTTTGAACCTCATTCCTCAGATCTCAACCTCCGGAATAGCTAGGATTCCAAGCGTGAGCCACTGGCACAGGGCTCCTACCTCCGCCTCCCAGTAGCTGGGATTGCAGATAGCTACCACTCCCTCTGTCTTCTTCTGGCAGCTTAACATAAACATTCAACCATGTTTTTATAAGCGTTCTTCTTTTAATGACGGAAGTCTCTAAATTGAATTAATATTCTTTCTCTAGCTCTTTGAGCTTTGATAAAGAAGAAATGTTCCCTCTTCTTAAGTTAGACTGTGAATTCTTAGTTCTATAGCTTCTAGGTGCCAGGTGGCTCCATGCCATTGGTGACCAGCTGTCTCTCCTGTGGCACTGAGGCAGGGCCAACAGCACAGGCCTTCAAACACGACTGGAATAGCAGTTGTATTGGTTTTTCTTGGTTCTGAGCAGGGGATGCAGGGCACCTTGATTTCCTCTGACTGGCTCAGGATACCCGTGCCTGTCTCCTGACAGGGTGAAGTCCTGGGCATCACGAGGTTTGGCCTGGCCAAGATGAAGGAGAGTGTGCTGATGCTGGCCTCCTTTGAGAAGACCGCTGACCATCTCTTTGATGCAGCCTACTTTGGGCAGAAGGACTCTGTGTGCGGTAGGTTTGACTTTCCTAGGAGCCATATCAAAGTTCTTTATTTCTTAGCTTGTCTATGGCTTGGACTTCAGTAGTGAAAAAAACTAAGCAGGCAGGGGTCATTGATTTAAGAGTAAAGTCATAGGTCACAGAATTGGAACTGCTGGATTTTCATCTCCAGGGCCTGATTGTGGTACCCTGCATTCTCCCTCCCCAGTCTATGAGGAGGTTTCTCTGTCAATAGACAGTTTGGGATCCGAGAAGAAAAGACTAAATCTGAGCATGTACAGGTTTTGTTTTGTTTTGTTTTTGTCGGTTGTGGGGCTTGAACTCTTGGCCTGGGCACTGTCCCTCAGCTCTTCAGCTCCTGTTTTCTGGTGGTTTATTGGAGATAAGAGTCTCATGGGCTTTACTGCCTGGCCTGGCTTTGAACCACGATCCTCACATGTCAGCCTCCTGAGTAGCTAGGATTATAGGTGTGGTGCCCTGCTAAGTTTTTTATTCTTAATCCCTTTTAGATGTAGACAGCCACATTGATTTGCCAGGTGCCCCAAGGCCCACAGAGGGACAGTGGCACAGCCCCCTGAGGTCAGCAAGATTATCTTCCTGTCCTGCTTCCTGGGAAGGCAGAAAGCTTACCATTTACATTGGTTGATGTTTGTTGAGCCCGTGTGGGGCCTGTGTATGCTGAGCATCTCCACACACCTGGAGGTATAGGCCCCCGGTTCTTTAACAGCAAGAAGACACAGGACAACACAAGTTGCATATGGCCCTGCACTACACTGTACCTGGCCTTCCTGCACTAAGAGTGTAGAACCTCTAAAGAGTGGTTGAGGAGAAGGAGTCTACCTGACAGCACCTCCACCCGAGGTCAGCACTGCCTTTGAGCTCTGCTCTGGCTTCTCAGAATCCACAGTAAGACCTTACGGGACTACGGCAGAATTACTAGGTTAGGGCTAGGGAAGTTCAGTAACCTGCCCCAAATCCCACAGCAGAAAGACTGAAAGACCTAAGCAGGCATTACAAACCTGGAGCTCTGCTTCCCAGGAGCCCTGTGCTGTTGTGTGGAGTTGTCAGATATGGGGTGGTCCAGTCAGGCTTCATTCAGAGTGCACACCCATTTTTTCCCCAAAGATAATAACTTTCTTTTGTTGTTGTTGTTGTTCCCCGATATGTAGCCCAGATGGTTCTGCATCAGCCTCCTCTGTGCGACAGGCCCACAAAACCCTGCACATTTTTTTCTTCTAAAAGGGACACTAGAAGATGTAGGTTTACATGCGGGACATTTGAAGGAGGAGAGTTCCATAAAGGCTTTGATTTTTTTAAAAAGAGCAGGCGGGGGACACTAGAAGTGTGGGGTATTACCTGGCATGCAAAATGCAAGAGACCCTGGGTTTAATCCACAGTACTACCAAAAAGACAAAAAGGCAGTCAAGACAGAGACACAGAAGAGGGAGAAAGACGGTGAAGAGAAGAAAAGAGATTGGAGGGGAATACAGTGGGAATGGGAGAGGGCCCAGGCTCAGGCCAAAGCACCTAGGACTGCGACCAGCACCCAGCCCTGCTGCCAGGAAACTGGGTCTAGGCTATAGCCCTGCAGTGCCTACCTGCTGCCCTGCCATGCCTGACCCCTGTGTGGGCCTCTGACAGCCCCCCTGCCCCACCCCACTTGGAAGTTTCCCCTCCTCCTGGTCCTTTCACACATAGTAACCATGTTAGCCCTCACTGCATGCTGTGTCCAGTTTGCTTGTTGGCCTCTGGTTCCATGTTAGCATAGGACGTAATTGTCACTTATTTGCTCTTGCAGTTTTTAAAAGCTGCACTAGAGCCCTTCAACGGTTCTTGGCCTGGGCTTCTGGAAGCCTGGCCCCACCTTCTCTGAGCACAGATAGAGCTGTCTGCTGTCCTTTCCAGGGGCACTGCCATGTACTCACCACCACCCTAGGTTTCCTTCCTTCTAGAACCCTCTGCTAACGGGAAGCTGGAAGCTGGTCTTCCTTTCTTCATTTCTTTTTTTTTTTTTTTTAGTCATTGGGCTTGAACTCAGGGCCTGGATATTGTCCTTTTGCTCTTTTCGCTCAAGGCTATAGCACTCTAATACTTGAGACACCATTCCGCTTCTGGTTTTTCTAGTGGTTAATTGGAAATAAGAGGCTCACAGACTTTCTGCCAGTCCTCAGACCTCAGCCTTCCTGAGTAGCTTCGGATTACAACCATGATGCCAGGCGCTGGTGGCTCATGCCTGTAATCCTAGCTACTCAGGAGGCTGAGATCTGAGAACATGATTCAAAGCCAGCCCAGACAAGAAGGTCTGTGAAACTCTTATCTCCAATTAACCACCAGAAAACCAGAATTGGCGCTGTGGCTCTAGTGGTAGAACGCTTTGCTTGAGCTGAAGAGCTGAGGGATAGCACCCAGGCCGAGTTCAAGCCCTAGAATCAACTTTAAAAAAAAAAAAGATTACAACCATGAGCCACAAATGCCCTTGGCTGAGTAGAGTTTCTTAAAGACAGCACCTATAGGCTGTGTTGGGCTCAGGTGGGAGAGAAGTATCTAGGCTGCCTGCAACACCCTGCTGAGTGCCGTGACTGTCCTTCCCTGGGGCACAGAAGGCCCTGTCCCCAGCCAGGAGCACAGTGCAGGGGCCAGTTCACCAGTTAATGTGCAGAGGAGCCTTCAGGCACCAAGTCCCTAACCTTGCCTGTGTTCCCTGCCTCCCTTCTGTGTGAAAGCCCGCCCCCATGTGAAGGCACCCCCTGAGCCCTGTCCTGGTTGCTTGCAGGAGTGTCGGAATGCATCATCATGGGAATCCCCATGAGCATCGGGACGGGCCTCTTCAAGCTGCTCCACAAGGCCGACAGGGACCCGGACCCCCCCAAAAGGCCCTTGATCTTCGACACAAATGAGTTCCACATCCCCCTTGTCACATAGAAGAGGAGACCATACCTGACCTTTCCCCCTTGCCCGTCTACAGCTGGAAGAGCGTTCTGCTTCCTGGGACAAGCCCAGAGGCTCCCGTCTGTGCTGGTGGTTGGAGAAGACCCTGGAGTCCCACAGTGCCACTCCTCATATAGGGAGCAGCCCATGCCTGCTGCCACCTGCACTACAGTTTGGGAAAACTCGGGCTTTGTTTGTTACCTGTCTATGGGTGGTCCAGCCAGGCATCCTTGCCCATCCCAGCGTGCTGTGTCCCCTCTTCCAGCCTCACACAGGCTAGGACATGTTACTGGTTTTCCATTCCTCAATTGTGACATACTCGTGTAAATAATGTTACTACTATTTATTTGTTCCTTTTGAGAGATGTGGAGTTGTCATTATTTTGTTTTATTCTTCAAACCAAGAAACTATAGAAACGAAAAAAGCCAGCATCCAAGTGTCACTGGTTAAGCAAATGGGAGTATTTTGAATCAGTAACTAAGCTAAGACAGTCACTCAGCCCAAACTGCTCCAAAATATCTTCTATCAATGCTCAGCCACCTGTTACTGCCATCTACCTCTGGCAGCAAGAGGCTCTTCATTAGTACAAGAACCAAACCCATTCTCTGTGGCCTGTAGAAGCCTCACTGGAGTTGGTGGGGACAGGCTGCCTGAAGCCTGGCATTGTCCATAGAAATGATGTGCAGCCAGTCCAGTTTGCCTGTGCTACCTTAGGCTGGAATCCACACCCCTAGTGGGGTGTCTGCAATTCTGTCCTGCCTCCCAGAGCTGCAGAGTACAAATGCTAGTGCAGAACTGGAGGCCTGAAAAGTACCTAGGGGCAGTGGTGGGAGAGAGCACTACTGGGCACAGGCAGTAACAGGAAACTGAGATGGAAACCTTGAAGAGTTGGTCTGCAGCTAGGCATCAGTGGCTCATGCCTGTAATCCTAGCTACTCAGGAGGTTGAGGATCTCAAAGCGGCAAGAAAGTACTCACACCTTCACCTCCAGTTAACTACCAAAACTGTAAGTGGAGCTATGGCTCAAATGGCAGAGCACTAGCCTTGAGCAAAAGAAGCTCAGAGACAACACCCAGGCCCTGAGTTCAAGCCCCAGGACTGGCATGTGCGCGCGCGTGGTGTGTGCACAGACACACACAGAGTTCCCAGTGTTATTAGAGAGCAGACTCCAGGACTATGAGGAAAACAGGGCCAGGTATTCCAGAAAGACCCCTATTAAATCGCTTCTGCCCAGTGATTGCACCATCGCTGGGGGTTTGTCGGGGTTAGGAAAGAAATGAAAGCCCATCTCCTAGGAGGATTTGTTCTTGGAGACAATTGCTCTTTGTGCTGAACTTGCTCTGTGATGTTGGCCCCGGGCCAAGGAGCAATGGGAACAGCACAGTGGCCCTCCTGGAAAACATTCGGTGGGGCCTGACTGTGGAGCCCCATAGATAGATGTGGGGATTTGACCCTTCTTTGTGGCTCTGTGCATGCACTTCAGGTCTATTTCTGTAATGACACAGACCCCTTAATGGTCTCAGCTACTAAAAGAAATAGCCATCCAAACATGGTTGAATGAGAAGATGGGTCTGAGTGACTCAAGAGATGAATGGGACAAAGGGAAAAACAAACAAGGCAGGAAGGTTATAACAATATTTTACAGAACCATACTTACATCCTTTGATTTCCCCTGGTTAACTCCCCAAGCCAAGTTCATGTTCCTGGGGAACTCAGTGAAGCAGGGAGTGAGTGCCTTCTCTTCATATCCATGTGTTCTGATTAGCAGCACCTTGACCTGAGGGGTTTTTGTTTGTTTTTGTTTTGGCCAAAGCTCAAGTTGAAATGCTGTTAAAATTTTGTAATTTAGGGGCTGGGAAGGTGGCTCAGTGGTAGAGTGTTTGCTTCGCTTGCATGAGGTCCTGGATTCGATTCCTTAGCACCACATAAACAGAAAAAGCTGGAAGTGGTGCTGTGGCTCAAGTGGTAGAGCACTAGCCTTGAGCTGAAGGGCTGAGGGACAGCACCCAGACCCAGAGTTAAAGCCCCAGGACTGACAAAAAAAAAAAAAAAAATTGTAGTTTAGCATCTACCAAGTTGACCCTCAGCCTTCTTGATGTTTTCCTGTGTTAAACTGAGCTATCCTGGCACATCATGGAACATCAGGACCATGTTCCTGGGCAACCTCCAGAAGGCTCTTAGATGGGATGGAAGCCACAGGCCTTAGTAGGTACAGCTCTGGCATGGTCAGCAGGGGCCAGTAGAGGGGACACGGAGTGAGGGTGAGGTCCCTACAGAAACCCCCTGTTGGTGTGGTAGACTGCACAAGTGTGCTGACAGGTCAGCAGGTGTGGGGCATTGTGGTTAGGAAAAGAGTACACCAACCAGTGGAAGCCACCCACCAATGGGCACTGCCAGCCCTGCTGCAACCACACAGCACTGGTGGGCAAGTCCTGTATGCGCCCCTCTATTCTGATCTGGGTATCATGTGATCACTTGCTCTGCCCTGCATTCACTGGGCTTTATGCCAGCCCAGACTCAAGACCTAGCAGCCACAGATTCTCAAGAGTAAGCTCTATAGGAGGTCGATCGGTTTTATTCTCCAGACCTCTTTAGAAGAAATAAGAAAAACATGTAAATCCCATCTCATCCAAAAGCAGTGTGGTATCTCTGGCTAGCAATCTGTGTGCCCAGGGGATTAAGGTAGCTCTTGGCTTAGTTATACCCCCAGCATTATTGAACACTGTGGGGAGGGAGACCTTTTGCAGGGGGAAGCAGGGGTTGTCTGTCTGTGTCTGTTCAACTATGGAGCCACGTTTCTATTTCAGGGCTTGCCCGTGTGTATTCACATTGATTCCTGTTGATTGAACTTGACACTAGTGATTTTTTTTCTCAAATTTTTGCAGTCTCTTGGCAGACCTCTCTATTTTCCTACCACAACACAAAGGAGATTTTAGTATGTAAAACTATAGCAGTCATCCTGGTGGGTTGTGAGATGGGTTCCTGTGAGCTCCAGTTCCTTGAAAAGGGAACACCCCCTGCCACCAGCTTCTTGTTCTGGAGAGCAGCTGTGAGCACCCCAGCCCAGCACCAACACTGCCCTCTGGAGCCACGGCAGCCCCAGCAGAAGCAATGGAAGGTCTGCAGAGCATAACAGGAAGAGCCACCTGGCCATTCTTCCATTCAGCACTGTTGGAGGTATTAAAGGTAAAGGTATAGCAGTAAGTACAACCGGCTAGTCAGACATGGATGTGAGTTCATTCAGAAGCACCTGTGGCTCACACCTGTAATCCTAGCTACTCAGAAGCCAGATCTGAGGATCACAGGTCAAAGCCAGGTTGGACAGGAAAGTCCGTGAGACTCTTACCTCCAGTTAACCACCAGAAAACCAGAAATGGCACTGTCTCAAAGTGTAGAGTGCTAGCCTTTAAGCAAAAGGAGCTTGAGGTTAGTGCCCAAGCTCTGAGTTCAAACCCCACAACAGACCAAAAGAAAAGAAAAACAAAAACGGAAGGAAGGAACAGAGGATTAAGGATCAAACCTGACCATGTGTGTCTAACAGTCCTGGTCAGGCTTCATCATGGGGCCTGTCTCCTGGGAGCAGGCTCAGCATATCAGCAGGCCCCCTAAGAAGGAAGAGCGCTGGCATCTACCCTGAACATCATGAGCCAGGGTATGATAAAGACGCGTGCACATCCATGTTCACTGCCTCACTATTCACAATAGCCCAGATAAGGAAACAGTCCAGATGCCCCACAAAATGGATCCAAAAAAGGTGGTACACATACACAATGGAATTCTACACAACCATTTGGAAGAACAAAATGTCATTTGTAGGGAAATGGATGGAAGTAGAACAAATCATGTTAATAGAGGTAAGCCAAGTTCAGGTAAACAAATAACACATGTTTGCTCTTATATGTGGAAATTAGATCTAAAATATACTGGGATGTGATCAATTATACAGGATATAAATACAGTGAGACCAAAAGAGGATAGTCTCAGGGGAGAAACACAAAGGCACAAGGCCTACATGCTTTTATATTAAATAATTTTTATCGAAACAAACTCCAAGATATGGACATGAGACTTCTCTTTTAATTTTTTTTTTTATGATTCTGTCTTCTTTATGGTGTGTTCATGTGTAAATCTTTGGGAGGGTGAAGGGTAGGGTACAGAATTCGAGGGAGAAAAAGTGTAGCAGTGGAGCTCACTAGACACTGATGAAAATGAAGTATGCGACTCGTGGGTGGAGACGGGAGGGAGATCAGGAAAGACTGAGGGAACAGAAGACACTATGAAAAGAAATGTACATCACCTCTGTAGTAACAATAAAGTAAGTTATATATATATATATATATATATATATATACACACACATATATATATTATATACAGTGGCTGGGCGCTGTCCCTCAGCTCTTCAGCTCAATGCTAGCACTCTACCACTGGAGCCACAGCGTCACTTTCAGTTTTCTGAGTGGTTTATTGGAGATAAGAGTCTCATGGCCTTTCCTGCCCAGGCTGGCTTTGAACCGCAATCCCCAGATCTCAGCCTCCTGAGTAGCTAGGATTACAGGCCTGAGCCACCAGCGCCCAGCCCTAAATTTTAAAATAAATAAACCAGAGTGAACCAAAAACAAACACAAGTGAAGAGTAAAACCATCAGATTCCAGGGCTCTTTGCTTACACATAGACCCTATAGGCTGTGCCCTGAGGACTCTGCGGTCACTGGAAAGGTTCCCGCTATTCACCCTGGCCAGCCTACTTCAGTGAGACTGAACATTTAAATCCAAGAATACTTGGTGAGCTTAGGGCTCAGCCAGGGGCTGTGCCAGGCCTCTCAGGGGAAGTCCCTGTGTAAGTAGAGAGCACTCTTGGCCAGGGATACCTCGTGAAGGGCCTGGTTTCCAGAGTGTCAGGATTCAAGTCCCAGTTCCCCCATGTTCTTGGTGACCTTTGCTGAATGACAGTCTCTCTGCCATGTAGTAATTTGTAATTTGTGTGTCACTGTGAGATGAAGTTTCAAAGATCTTAGTGCCATGCCTGGCACTACCCATAAAGCACATTCAATGCATTAAATGTTTACACTCAGGGCAACTATTACTTTGTACTAAAAACATGGTCAGAATATACAGCCAAATACCACGATCCTCCTGTCCCAGCCTCTGAGCACTGAGATTTTAAAGTGTGCACCTCCAACCTAGCAGAATGAGTTTTGCTTTAAAAAAATTTTTATTATCCTTATTATAAGGGTGGTATACGGAGGGGGTAAGTCAGGTAAAGAGTACTTTTTCTTTTATTTTGTGGACATTGTCTCCCCTTTCCTTGTACCTTTTTCCAGTTCTAATGAACAAACCCTGGGCCTCACATGCCTCTGGCC